AAGGTCCTGCTTCCCAAAGGCTCCAAACCTTCCCCAAATAGTACTCCAGGTGGGAAGCAAATGCTCAAAACCTAAGCTTGAGAGAGACACTTTAGATTCGAACTATACATTCTATCCTGGTTGCCAGAGGCTCATGGCCATCTTGTAATACAGAGATGTATTTATTCCAACTTCAGGAGGCCTCAGAGTCTCAGCATTGATCAAAAGTCTAAATCTAAAGTCTATACTGAGACTTAAAATAGCTGTGACCTGTAAAGTAAGAGGAATATCAAGATTGAACCAAAGCAGGACTAACACCCAGCAGGGAAAATATTAAACCTGTCTGGAACCTGGGGCACATTGTTTGATCTCACTCACAAGCATTCTTTAGAAACCTAGGTGCAAGATCCCAAAACTCTTGCAATTCTGCACACCTGAAAAATAGCACCCAGTGGATAATTCCAAAGTCTGCTGCCAACTAGGACCTCTTAGATCATGTGAGCCTCAGCCAGAATACCTGAACCTAGATTGAAGAGAACCATTTCCCTAGGTGGCCCTTTCCCACCGAGCACCCTGGAGACTCTTCAAAAGCCAATCTCCTTTTGGAGTGTTTTAAGTGAGTCTTCAGTTTTATGCCCTGGAGCCTTCAGAGGGTGGAGACTCAGTCTCAGGTCAGCTGTTCTGTTGTCCCTGTGTCAGATATGCAGCTTTATGACGTCAGTGGCTGGCCTTGCCCACACTTCTCTTATCCACAGTTTTAAAAATCTTCACCTTCCTTCCAGGACCAAATTCCAATTTCAAAACTCTTCTCTGTATTATTCTCCTGATTCTCACTATAAACCCAGCTCAAAGCAGCCAGAACCATCCCACAGGCTGAGTGCTAAGTTGTCTTGTTTTTTTCTCTGTTACCTGTGAAACTCACATCACTCAAATTTTCAGCACACAGGTAGAATGTACACAGATTCTTTGTTCCCAGCCGAGTCCTTGTCCCTGCCTAAGACCACATGAGTCGCCTTTGCTGTCCATAGTGTCAGCCTTCCAATCCTCCATGTTCTCAGCAGAGTGGTGAGTCTCTGAGGAGCCAGTTTCAAGGGCAGATAAACCACTTGGTGGGATCAGTTATAGGAATGGCACCACCATAAACCACCTGGTGGGTTTAGTTATAGTAACAGTGTCGCTTTGGTAGGGCCAGCTCTGAGCTCGTTAACTTTTGCATTGCTCTGATAGAAACAACTTGAAGGAAGAGTTATTCTGACTCCTGGTTTTCCAAAGGGCTTCAGTCTATTCCAGCAGTAGAAGCATGCAGTAGAGGCACCTGCTGTCACTGAGGCTGCTGAGGAAGGAGGGAGGACAGAGGCTGTGTATAACCTCCCGAACCCACCCCTCCCCAACTACTTCCGCCAGGTACGCCCCATTCTGAAAGGTCCTGCACCCTTCCCAAGTTAACACCACCAGCTGCAGAGCAAGCGTTCAAAGCACGAGCCTCTGGGACATTTCACATTGACATTCTAACAAGTGGCCAGAACAGGTCTTAGGGAGTGACAGCTTCCAGATGAGGGATGGCACTTAGAGAGCAGCTTGAAGATCAGACAGAGGTGGGAGGGAGCTGGCGGCTAGGGAGCTGGGGGCTAGGGAGCTGGGGACTAGGAAGCTGGCGGCTAGGGAGCTGGTCCCTCAGCATTGGTTTTCTCGTTGCCCTCTCCTTGGTCAGCGTACACTGAGGCTGACTAGAGATGTAGCATGTGCTCAGTGAGTGAGTGTAATGATGGAAGCCCCCGGGATGCATGGCTGTGACTTGATCCAGTGGCATTATCCTTGTCACAGTATCTGATGACCTCTCTCCACTCCATAGCAGCCAGGTGTCTGTCTTATGAGCACACAAGGGGGGAAAGGGTTGTCACCATCACAGCTATTGCCAGTAGCATCCTTGTCACCACCCAGGTGCCGACCTTTGGGGATATGATTTTTCCATGGTCCTTTACATCTGTTGATTAAGGTTAGTTACGCTGTGTTGACAGAGTGACTTGAACAAGATAGAAGATGGAGTCTCTCTCGTGCAACAAGAATAGGTGTATTCAGGAAGTGCGGCTGAGGTAACTCTGCAGGCTCTGTTGAGCGGCCATCCTGCCCCGTCATCCTCAGCTGGGTGAGCCGTTGTCGCTCACCCCACCATCTGCATTCCGAGCAGGTTGGGGCGCACTAACCCACCAAGGACTCATGGCGGTCTCATCACCGTCTCGTCCGTCCTTTGATCAGAATGTAGCCACCCTGCAGCCGTGGGAAATGCGGTCTTTGGTGGGGGCAGCCACCCGCTCAGCTGTGCTTTTTTAATTTCTGTATTAGGGGAATGCTGGCAGCCCCCACCTCTGATCCTGAGCCCAGGCATCTGGTTTTGGTTCAGGGGTCATTAAAGAAGGAGTGTGGTGCCCTTCAAGGATCCTGTGGCACATAGAGAGGTGGAAATTCCTGCCTGCTTGTCACATAAGGTTCTGAGTGGACACGGAGTTGTCAGTCCACTCGCTGAGGAATGAAAATGTGTGGTCACTTGAGAACGAGGCCCTGTCTGCAAGTGCTCAGCAGTTGTAGATTTTCTTCCTATGACTGTGTCAGGCAGGACACTGCATAGCAGGGCTAGTGATGGCAAATTTTCAGCACGGATTTTTCCCAGCTCCGTATCGACTGGCGAAGTCATTAGGCATGCCCTCCAGCTTCCCCAGTCTTGTCTTTTCAGCCCCACAGGCATGACCAGATAGGGTGGTATCCACCATATGTGTGTAGGTTTTTTAGTTGTGAGCTGCACATGCATTCTAGAACTTGATACTTTATACATTACTGTGACCAAATAGCTGGGAAGCAGCAACTGAAGGAAGAGAGGGAGGGAAGGAGAGAAGGAGGGGGGGAGGGAGGGAGGAAGGGAGGACTTATTTTGGGTCACAGTTTGAGAAGGGCTTGTGACCATCATGGCAAAGATGGGGTGGAGAAGCATGAGGTTGCTGGTCACACTGTGTCCACAGTTCGGAAGGAGAGAGTATTCATCCGAGTTTTCTTCTTGTTGCTGTGATAAAACACTAACCAGAACCAGCTTGGTGGGGGTAGGGTTTATTTGGCTTGCTCTTCTCCGGCACAGTCCATCATTTAGGGAAGTCGGGCAGGAACTCAAGCAGGAACCTGGAAGCAGGAGTTGATGCAGGGTCTCGGAGGAACACTGCTTGCTGGCTTGTGCCTCGTGGCGTGCTCAACCTCCTTATAGCAGCACCTAGGACCACATGCCCAGGGGTGGCCCCACCCACAGTGGGCTGGGCTTTCCCACATCCGCTGCTAATCAAGAAAATGTCCCCGCAGACATGCCCACAGGCCATACTAGTCTGGTGGAGCCAACTGAGATTCCCTCTTCCCAGGTGACTCTAGTTTGTATCAAGTTGGCAAACACACAAAAAACCCTAACCAATCCGTAGAGGGAAAAGGGAGAGGGGGAGCAAGAGAGGGAGAGGAGGGGGAGGAGAGGAAAGGGGCACCTGGGTGCTTCCTCTCAATTGCTCCTTTTCGTTCAGTCTGGGACCCCAGCCCATGGGTGGCGCTCACATTCAGGGCAGGTCTTCCTGCTCAGGTAAAGGTGTGTCTCCTAGGTGATTCTAAATCAAGGCGACAGAGATCTCTGTATTTACACTGAAGTCTCCCCTTGCTGTGTCTTCTGCATTCACTGCAGGCTTTCACAACCTTTTCTTCCAGAGATTTTGTTTTAAATGAAGACTCAAGTGTAGCTCAGGATGGCGTCACAGTCATGTCCCTCCTTCCTCTACCTCCAAAGTGCTGGGATTACAGACATGACATATCACTCATGGCTGGATCAAGGATATTTTTCCTTCTAAATTTGTAACTATTAACTGTTTATTACAGAACATATAAAAATGTGTAATAAGGAAAGCAAAAAATTGCCCAAGATGCAACTGTTCAGTCATACTCTCTTCACCTCAGCATCTGAGAAAATATGAAACCATCTATCTACTTCCTCTAATCAAGTTGGCATCTTGCCACACACCGTGCTTTATAGTGAGCCTTTCACTGGGCGAAGGCTCCTCCAAAGCTGCATGTATTTTATGAGGGACTCCAGGCGCAGGGTGGAGCACACTGCTGATGCTGTGTCCTGGCTGTCTTGCAGTCTGAGGCTTTGTTACTACTTAGTGGTGTTGGCTCCATTTCACAATGACAGTAACTTAGTCCCCACTTATAGACATAGGATGCGGGTAAGGACCAAAGAGGCGGGATTGCCCACTAGGAGAGAAGAGGCACCCGGGTGGCACAGGGTGTGGGCGGCAGCCCTTGACTTGGCCGCATAAGGACCACAGAGCTCGCTGGGTTTTCTTTTAGTTTTTTTTTCAAGACAGGGTTTCTCTGTGTAGCTTTGGAGCCTGCCCTGGAACTCGCTCTGTAGACCAGGCTGGCCTCGAACTCACAGAGATCCGCCTTCCTCTGCCTCCCGAGTGCTGGGATTAAAGGCGTGCGCCACCACCGCCCAGCTCGTTGGGTTTTCTAATAAGACTTTGTTGTGAGTGATGCACAGTACACCCATCCAAGGCAGGATACACTGCTCTCTGTTCTATACAATGGCAAGCTACACACACACACACCACACACACACCCCCTGCAAACTCTCCCAAGAGCAATGATGAACCCAAGTTCCAGGGAGAGGCTGTGGGAGTTGGGGGGTGTTGAGGCAGTGGGGAGCTCTACTTGGTGGGCTGTTCCCGGGAAGCCTCTCTTCCATGCCCCTGCTCTCTCGACCTTCCTGAAGCATTTTTCTCTCCCTCTGCATAGAATATTCTTCTCTGAAAACAGAACAAAAAACCGTTCTCACCCATAGTTTGCTCAAGCTCCCTCCTCGGAAAAGGATGTCGGTGGCCAGTGGGGGGACTCGCTTGGGTGCCCCCTCTGCTGTCTGTGCCACTGCCTAGGGTCCCTGGGCTTTTGGCTCCTTTGTATGAGTCCTTTCCATTTGACCTCACTGTGCTGTTCTTTGACAGGCAACCATCGGGATTGACTTCTTGTCAAAAACCATGTACTTGGAAGACCGTACGGTGAGTAACTGGCCTCCGACCTGGATGGACAAAGGGGGTATTGTCTGATTTATCCCTCAGAGCCCCCAGTTGGGTACTCTTGGAAATCTCTGCCAAGACCGGGATGGACCTGGCATGGCAGTGCCAGCATCACGGCGTCTGGGCCTCCATCCCTCCATCCCCCTCTACCAAGAGGCTCGCTCCACTACCCCACTGATTGCCTCTGCCTTGACACTCTAGGTTAGACTGCAGCTCTGGGATACAGCCGGGCAAGAGAGGTTCCGCAGCCTGATCCCCAGCTACATCCGGGACTCCACGGTGGCTGTGGTGGTGTATGACATCACTAGTGAGTAGGGGACTGTGCTGGCATGAGGGAGCTCTTGGGGTCCAATGTGACTCTGAGCAGACCTGTGTATATACACATACACACAGGTACATGCTCAGTGGGGGTAGTGAGTTACCGTGGACCACTACGGTTCACTGTCCCCCAAACTCCCGTGACAGGCATGGCTGAACAAGACAGGCTAACCCTCTGTGCCCTCTGTGCCCTCCGTGGCCCTGGATGACATATGTGCCAGCTCTCCCCAGAGATCCCTGGGGACAGCCCTTCCTGCATACTTGGGTCTAGAGAGGGCTTCACAGACTCAGTGGGGACCCCGAGGGTGGGGCAGGCCTTATGCAGAGGCCAGCTACCCCAGGCCATCTCGAGGGACACACATGGGAGGCCCGCAGGCTGGCTTCAGTTGTAGAGGATGCTGTAAGGACCCTGAAATCACAAGCGGGAGGGGCGTGCCTGGCTCACGGCTCCAGCCTGTCACCTCAGGTCTGCCTTCCCCTGTGTCTTCCTGACTGCATGCTCTGTGTATGCCCAGCGATGTGGGAGCTGCATCCTAAAGGACCTGTGCCACTGACTGTGGAGAACAGCCACCTCCCTCCCTGTGGCTCTTCTGAGGGAGATGCTGCTGCCCTTGGAGAGCTTGCTTCTAGATTCGTGTGCCTCTGGGGTGGCCTTCCTTCCGCCTTCCCCTGCAGGGTTGTAGGCTCTCCTCCCAAGCCAGCCTGGCCTTCCTCAGACTTCCTTGAGCATCCCATGGAGGGGCAGCATTTCCTAGGGGCCGCTGTGTCCTCCCCTCAGTGCTCCGCGGTTCAATCAGGCCCAACGCCTTCCCCTTTCCACCCTCTGCTTTGGCCTCACGTCAGCTCTGACTCTTGCGTGGCCTCTAGAGTCACCGTTCTGTGTAGAAATTGTGACAGCCTAGCTTCCCAGATAACGGTGACTTCTCTCCCTCAGGTAGCCACCCAAGCAGTGCTGGAGGCTCTCCAGGATCACAGGGCAGACCTGGCTTCCCTGTATAGCCCCAGCCTAATTGGTGTGTAGAGACTGGGTTAGTGTCTTGGTACATGCTTGCCTCTGGAACCCCTCATTCTCACTCTGTCCCCACTTTCTGCCTCCAGATCTCAACTCCTTCCAGCAGACTTCTAAGTGGATCGATGACGTCAGGACAGAGAGGGGCAGTGACGTGATCATCATGCTTGTGGGCAACAAGACAGATCTGGCTGACAAGAGGTATGCACTAGACGATGGAGGTGCCGTGGCTAGCAGGAACAGGCTTCCTCACCCCTGCGCGGTTGTTCTGTCCTGGAGGTCTGAGGCACCAGAGCATGGGGGTGCCGTGGCTAGCTGGAGCGTGCTTCCTCACCCCTCTGTAGCCCAGGAGGTCTGAGGTGAAGAGAACGGCAAGGCTTGCCTCCACGAACAGGAACACTGAAATGCCTGTTAGACCCCACACACTGCAAGCTTCGCATCTCAAAGCTCCGTCTTCCTCAGCGCAGCAAAGGCGGGGTGTGGCAGGGACCTGTTTGCACAGGTGTTCCCATTGCAGTCCCGAAATAGCCGCTGACACAGTGGTCCCTGGGATGGAACTCCTGTCCCCATGGAAGTCCTGCATTAATGTGGGACCTGAAACCCAGGTCCTCAGGAATGAGTCTGTGGAGCGTCAGCAGAGCACAGACCTTGTCCCCAGTTAGTGCATGCTGGTTTATCCTGTGTCTGGGCATGGAGGTGTCCTTTCCAAGTGTGTTGGCTCTCGGAACTCTGTGCTGGCTTTGACAGATAAGGCCATGTGTCACGGTTTCTGATCCAGCACATGGGCTTCTTACAGTATCCCTGCCATTTAAAGTATAATCTGAGTCAGAGACGAGAGCCCTGCCCAGAGGGGAGCGAATGGGTGCCTCTGCAGAGCTGTGGGCCTGGGGGCAGGGTTGCTTTTCATTTTGGTGTTTGCATTAGGAAAGGGCACTGATGATTCCTCCCAAGAGAGGCTGTGAGTGTCCAGGAGTCTGGTTCTGATGGCTTCCGAGAAAGGCAGTGGGGATGTGGCTCAGTTGTAGAGCACTTGCCTCCCGTGCGTGAAGCCCTGGGTTCAGTCCCCAGCACTCGTAAAACCAGGCTTGGTGGGACACGCCTACTGTCCCAGTTCTAAGGAGGTGGACACAGGAGGATCAGAAGTTCAGTGCCATTCTTTGCTACCTCACAAAGTCAAGGCCAGCCTGGGCCACACGTGACCCTTCCTTAAAAGGTGTGGGGGTAGCCTCACTCCCTACTTCAGAAGACATGGAGGAAGTATGGGAAGGGGCCAGAGTCCCCTATGCTCAGGTACCACCTTCTTGCTAGACAGACTGTGACTGGCATTCTGTCAGGGATCCCTGGGCAGCGAGCCTGTCTTCGGGCTGACCAAGGGGCCTGGCAGGCTCCCTCTGTCAACCCACAGTCCTTCATCTCAGGTTGCCTCCTCCACATCTGCCAGGGCTGCCGCTCTGCCACCTGACCTTTCCCTCTCCCCGTCATTTCTAGGCAGATAACCATTGAGGAAGGGGAGCAGCGGGCCAAAGAGCTGAGCGTTATGTTTATCGAGACCAGCGCGAAGACCGGCTACAACGTGAAGCAGGTGAGGACACAGCCGGTGATGTCCCCGACTTGCTCAGGTCTAGACGCCCTCACCCGGGACCTTCCTTGCCGTGAGTTGGCTGGTGACTAGGTCGGGGCAGCTAGCCATTGCGTAAACCTATTCCTCTGCGTAGTGGGGGATGGCACTGACTGCCAGGGCTGATAGAGCAGCTGATGTGAGGGGAGCACTCAGCGTGTGAGCCATGTGGACACCGTCAGTCCCTGGTCTCCACAGCTGTGATCAGGTGTGGGTCCCTGCGGCGGCGTGTGTGGACGAGGGTCCAGCATGGAATTCCTCCTGGCCGAGAAAGCTGTGGTTCCTAGCATCTCACTTCACTTCAAATGAGAACACAAGGCGTTTGTCTGATTAACCTGTTGGGTTTATGTCTTGATGTGGCAAGAACTCGGGGCCATGAAGGACAACTCAGAAGTGGAGAAAAGAGGTCCCCGTGGCCGCTGGGGACGACAGGAGGGAGAAGGGGTGGGGCTGAGCCTGGAGCAGTCATGTTTAGCTGGGATCTACAGACCCAAGTAGTTCGGGGGCAGAGCTCAGCTGCTCAGGCTCCCTGGGCTTAAGAAGATCCTGTATTGTGACTACTCACTCATCTGTCGGACAAAGACAGCCAGGCTCAGTGTTAGTGAGTGCAGTGAGTCTCTCACTGGCAGAAACCACAGGTGTCTACTAGTGGCTTCGCCAAGCGGTGTCCTTTACGATCTCCATAACTGACTTTACTTATGAAAAGGAGTCCACAGCCGGGTGTTGGTGGCGCACACCTTTAATCCCAGCACTCGGGAGGCAGAGGCAGGCGGATCTCTGTGAGTTCAAGGCCAGCCTGGACTACCAAGTGAGTTCCAGGACAGTCTCCAAAGCAAAAAAAAAAAAAAAAAAAAAAAAAAGGAGTCTGCAGGCTTCATCGGATTGCAAGAGGGGTCCATGGCCCAAGCAAACCCGTTTTGGAACGTGAGGAGAGCAAGGTGGCATGGAGGAAGGGCACCACAGGTGGGCTGAGGGGAGCAGAGGCCTGGCAGGAGGGTGCCTGCAGCACAGGAAGGGACTCTTTAGCAAGGAGAGTGGGCTGATGTGCCATCTACTGTAACCCCATTTCCCAGGAACACCAGGCAAGCCTGGGCACCCGGTGGCCTTTAGGAGATAGTGGTCATTCACTCCATGTTGATAGTGCTGGTGACCTCGGAGAATAGGTGACAGACACGCTAGAAGGGACAGAGCAGAGGGGCAGTTATGGCCACATTAGGGAGCCCCACAGCATCTGGAACCCAGTGCCCAATTGGAGGGCCCTCAGCAGCTCCATCCACCCAGCCCCTTCCTGGTCTCTATGAGTATCAGATGTGAGCCTGAGGTCCTGCCTCCAGGGTATCTCAGGGAGGAGGGGCTGCTCTTTGGAGCCAGTGAGGTCACAGGAAATGGCAACCGAGGACAGCATTAGGCATCCATAGAGCAGGTAGCATCGACACGCCCTTTGGGCCAGGGAGAGGCTGGTCCCTTTTCCAATCCTGGAATGATCTGGAATCTGGGCAAGGATTTGAACAGGGGTTAAATCTGGCCAGTTTTACAAATCACCACAGACTATGTAGCAGACTATGTAGAAAACTATTTCTCCCTGCTCTGAAGGCCGAGGAGTCAGGTTGAAGGTGCCGGTAGATTCAGTGTCTTGCGCACCTCTCCCCACCATGTTTGACACCTTCTAGTTGTTTCCTCACACGAAAGGAACTTGCAGGCTCCCTCAGCCTTTTTGTCAAGGCAGCACATCCTTAGACAGTCCTTCTGGGAATCAGGGTTTAACCTACAAACTCAGGGTAAGGGGAGCATGGGGGCACACCCAGCCATCCAGACCAGTCCAGAGTCTTCTCTGCTCTGGTCTTCTGCCTATACCTGTTATTTTCAAGATGTGATCCCTGCCAGCCCCCACCTTCCAGGTCTCCCGGATGTCCCCTCCTGTTTTCATACACACTCACACAAGTAGACTCACACATGAACCCACACTCCATGTGCTTGCTTCTGCCATGGTCTCTTTCTCATATACACACAGAGGATGAAATTCACAATACCACATATGCACGCATGCACGCACACACACGCGCGCACACACACACGCACACACACACGCACACCTCTTCCCTTGTATGCTTACACACACACGCACGCATGCACACGCGCACACACACACGCACGCACGCACACCTCTTCCCTTGTATGCTCACACACACATTCTCTACAAATCATGCACGCTACACATCCACACAAACCCACAGTATCATGGTGGCATTCGCATGTCCCTCACAGCGGCTGTGGCTGCCCCAGTGTCCCTGGGGAATGCCATTTGTCTTAAGTCAGGTCAGAAACTGTTTTTCTCCACCTAGTCCCACTGTGGTGGGCTTTTTACGTGGGTTCTGGGGATTTAAGATGGGGCTTCATGCTTGTGTGGTAAGCACTTTATTGACCGGGCTGTCTCTCTAGCCCCCGTTCCCTCTTCCCACAAACACCCTGAGACCCTCCAAGACCAGAATTGTGAGGTGCTGTGGTGACCCCGCAAAGGGCTCAGAACAAGCCTGCACTCCAGGGCACAGTCAGTGGACAGACAGGCAATTGATGCCTAAGATCCATACACACGAGGAGAGGGGTGCAGGAGACCAAGAGAGGGGAGGAGGGAGCCTGGGTGGGCATCACCCTGCATCTCCTGCCTGCAGCTCTTCCGGCGTGTGGCATCGGCTCTGCCCGGCATGGAGAACGTCCAGGAGAAGAGCAAAGAAGGGAGTATCCTTTTCCTTGAACACGTGAGTGAAAAGACGGTCCCCAAAGTCCGTGCTTCACTTGGTGTTTCAGTAGAGCAAATGAGTACCAGCTGCCCCCAGCCCAGCCTTCCCTGGACTGATACAGATAGCCAGGCCACCTCTGTTCAGCAGCAGGATGGGCTCCAAGGCCTTTGAGCTCCCCACCCAGCTCTAACCAAGGCTGCCCCCTCCTTCCCAGCAGTGAAGAGAGGCAAGAGCTGTGCAGCAATGTTGTGAGGAAGGGAGAAGAGGGGAGGGGAAGGGAAATAGTGGCTCTGCCTTGCTTTGTAGTGAGCGTAGTGTGCGTTTCGTGAATCCACTGGAGATCCCAGGCAAGGATGCTTCCATACAATGAGCACTTGATTTTGGCTTGTCAGTGCTTCCTCTGTCTCCCCACTGCTCTGTGGAGCAAGCTTGCACAGCATTCCCACAGTGACTGAACCCTAGCTAACAACCAGATGCTGAAACTGAGGTTCAGAGGTAGAATGGTTTACTTAAAGGCACGTTGTGTGTGACCTAGGGAACTAGGATTCATACTGAGGCTTCCATCATAGCTACCCCTACTCCATTCTGGGGTGCTGTCTCTCAAAGGGCACCTGAGAGGATACATTTAGAAGCCCACAAACAGGCTTCCTTTGAAGTTAGTCAGATGTCCCCGCCAGAGAAAGGACTGAGAGACTGGACCCTCACACCCCAGCATACATCTTTCAGAATGGGATATGTCCCTGCAAGGCAGCTTCCCAGCCACTCCACGTACCAGTAGCAGTCTCTGCGGGAGACGCCCACTGAGGGTCACAGAGTGACCCAAGTGGTTCAGGCTGATGAAGGTGAGAACAAAGGAAACATCTAGCTTCATGTGAGCGCTGTAGTGAAGGCATGGCTGTGCCTATCCCTCTCCTCAGCCACCGGGTGCGGGGTAGAAAAGAAGACCTAACAGTTGCCACAGGGTGAGCCTGAAACAGACTCGAGCCCCCAAGGAGGAGGTATCCATCCCAGTCATGCCGGAGGACAAACAGTGTCTATGTGATTCTGAGACCAACAGGGCACCAAGGGGGCAGACTCAGGTGAGTCACCCGGTTGGTCAGTCACAAAACCTCACTTGCAGGTAAGGAGTCATAAACAGACTCTGGGGCTACAGAGAGTATCTCCCCACTCTCACTGTTGGCTGAGCTGGGCTGCATTCCTTAGGGGGAAGACCCCCCCCAGTGCCACCAGATGTTTGTGGGGCCTTTGACTTGCCATAGAATTCAGAAACCCTCCTGTAGGTCCAAGAAGAGACAAGGAAGGCAAGAGGTGTGGTGACCCCCAATGTGCCCACTGTGAGGGACAGATAGCCCCCCTCTGTCCTGCCCATTCCAAGGGCAAAGCCAACCTACCTGGGTGAGTGATGGCCATTCATTCATGTTCTCCCAGAACACGGTCCACGTGGGAATCCGTGCTGGGCCAGCAATCAGGTCACATGGGCTCACTTCAGGGTGACTGCTAGCAATCAGGTCACATGGGCTCACTTCAGGGTGACTGCCAGCAATCAGGTCACATGGGCTCACTTCAGGGTGACTGCTAGCATGGCACCCTAGTGCACCTAGCATGTCACTCGGCTCTAGGGGAAGTGCTGAGCCAGCAGCAAACAAATCACACAGAGCAGGTTTGCGCTACGTGACACCCCATCTGGCAGATGCAGCCAGACCCTTCCCAGGTGCCCAATGGCTGGAGCCTCCCAGGCAAGACTAGAACAGCCTGGAACAGACTAGAGACATTCTGGAAGGGACCAGGTGGAAGCAGCGGCCATCTGCTTACTGATGGTTCAAACCCAGATGTTTTGAGGATGTGTTCTTGGGGTTATGCTCGGGATTGCATCAGCGTAAGGAGCGAGCACACAGAAGTGCCACGTAGTGATGCTGTTTGAAAGATTCTTATGTGGCTCTGTTCCCTGGGCTGGCGGCGAGGGTGGAGTATGGATATGTGGGTGTGGAGTTTCTTAGTCCTGCTTCCAGATCCCCAGAGAGATACTGCACTTCACCTTCACCCTGCACAGGAAGCCTCCCTGGGGCCATTCCAGCAGCCCCCCCCACTCCACAGCAGCTCTTGACAGAGTTGGGCTAAGGGACCCAGAATGATAGAGCCACAAGCCCCTTGCTGGGTCCACACACACAGAGCTCTCCTTTCTGGCAGTAACTATGTGCCCCATGGAGAGAGGACACTTAGTCTCCCAAGCAGGGCAGAGCATGCCCCAGACCTCCCAGCTGGTAACTTGCAGAGCTATGACTAAGTCCAAATGTTTGCATCCTGTGGCCACTGTCCTCTGATAGAGCAGTGAGGAGCTTTGACACCCCAGAAACACAGAGCTGTGTCCCCCATAGCACCGGACACGCTGGGGCAGAGAAGCATACTCAGCAGTTGGAGACAAGAGGGTAACAGGACGTCTGGGCCCATTACTGTTTCAGGAACCATCAGACAGTGGTCCTTGATGTGGTTAGTGATGGGCCATGCCTGGGGTCCTGAGTGTGGCCGGGGCCCCATACTGGGTTTGGAGGGATGAGCAGCCACGCTCTGTTCTGCCTTCAGAAAGGCACAGGGCGTGCTCATCCCAAGTCCTATGGCACGTCTCCACAGAGAATCTTCTCTTCCGGAGACTGTTGAGAAGTCAGTCCTGTTCTTCCCCATCTTTTCAATCAAAAGCAACCCTTGAGCACAGTATTCCAGTGGCATGTAGCATTACAAAAAAGAAACATTCAATGTTAGTATATACAAATGCTTGCAGCAAATTATTTAAAGTTATACTTTATAATATTATAGTCTTCCACGAGAGTTTCCAGGTAAATTAATTAAAATTGAGTTAAGATAAAAGTCACGTTTCAGGATGTGGAGATGGGTTCATGGGTAAGAGCACTTGCCGTGAAAGCCTGAAAACCAGAGTTTGAATCCCCAACACTTGTGTAAAAACCCAGACAAGGCCACATACAACTGTAACCCTGATACCATGGGGAACAGAGACAGGACACGCGGGGCTTGCCAGCCACCAGCCTAGCTCCAGATTTAGTGGGATATCCCATTTTACACACACGCGCGCACACACACACACACACACACACACACACACACTTTTAGTTTAGTTCTTTGGTTGTGCCAGCATTATTCAAGCCCTCAGTTGCCTGTATTGCTAGTGGCCACCATACTGGACATGCAGTTACGGAGGAGCCCACTATCACAGTCCTTTTGAACAGTGCTATTTTGGAATTATCCAGTGTCTATAGCAATGACTTCCCAGGTGTCGTGCGTTGAAATGTTCTAGAGAACTTTTTAATAATTCACCCTGTATACCCATCTCCAGATCCACCAATGTGGGATCCATGAAAATGTATTTTTAACAGATTTCTCAGGAGATTTTAGACAGTCCAAAAACATCATGTGGTGTACAAAAGTATCGTGCCTCAGATTGCACTGTGGAAGATTTCTTTGGAACAGTAGTCAGGCCACTCCCGTACGGGACAGAATGTCCTGCTGTAGCAGCAGCTAGCCTTCTAGCTGGCCAGTGCTTCTCAGCTCGGATTGACTCTGATCCCTCCTTCATGAGGGGTACTGAGCAATGTCTGCAGATGACTTTGGTTATGGTAAGTTAGGGGCTGGGAAGCAGGTGTATCTGGCATCTGGTGGGTAGAGATCAGGGATGCTGCAAGCATCCTCCACCCTCCAAGGGTACCACAACAAAGTGGCAGCCAGGAGAACACATGAGTGAGATTGAGGTAGAGAAGCCCATGCAAGAAGGATTTTAGAAAAACCTACTCATTGAAAGCAAAACTGGGCAGGAGGTACAGCTAGTGGTTGAGTACATGCTTGATGTTTCTGAGGCCCTGGGTTCAATGCCCAGTACAAGTAAGTAAGTAGACAAACTCTTGGTGGGAAAGGCAGGTAGCCTTGGGTTTCACCCAGACCCCTCAGCCTCCAGTCTGGATGACTCTGAAGTCTGATGCTGAAGTTAGGTGACACATCTTCTGGGCCTCACACAGCAACAGAGGAGGTATTCACTGCAGCCTGAAGACGTTCCATAAAGGGGCGACATAGTCACAAGCCCCAGCTTAGAATGAGCTTAAGGTAGGGAGGGGCAGGAATCTGGATAGGGCAGGGCTGGGTGAAGTGTTTATAGAAGGAAGGAAAGTATAGGATCTGTTGAAGAAGGGGACAGTTTTGACTGCCGGAACCTCCATGTATGGTGGGGGGCAGGGGTCAAGGCAGATCATGGGAAGTCCTGAATGCTAGTACGAGAGATCTTGGATGCTGTGTCTCTGCTCAAGGTGATGGCGTGGGTGTCACTGAGCTGGCTTAGGGAATGTCACTCTACTGAGAGAGTGGGTGGGCAAGCTCAGAGGGGAACCCGGAAAAATGAGGAGCCCCCAGTGAGGCCTGTCCCCAGGGCCAACAGTGCAAGCCGGGAACTAGAGGAAAAGCTTCTGAGACAGACCCTCCCTGGCCTCCGTCACAGCCCCAGTTTTTCTCTGGGCAGACAGTTTGGGGCATGTAGGCAGGCAGAGGTAGAGAGAAGGGTGGGGGACGGGCAGTTCCTTCCCACTCCAGCTGAGCGAAGAGCTGAGTCTGGAGGTTTGCAGAGGGACAGAGTGGCATCTTGGTGACCGTCATCTTCCTTAGCCAGCCTCTTACAGTGATCGACATCAAGCTGGACAAGCCCCAGGAGCCCCCAGCCAGCGAGGGTGGCTGTTCCTGCTAATGCAGAGCCCACTCGGCGTCCTCGACGCCACTCACGTGTGTTGCCTCCTGTTGGTTAGCTTCCTAGTGGGGTGGGAAATGAGTTTATCAAATGGGAGGGTCTTTCTTTTCTCTCTCTCTCTCTCTAGGAGTAGGGTGGGACCTGGGGAGGGAGGCTGGGCATCAGGGACCACGTCACTCTTAACAGCTGTTACCTAAACAACTATTTTTTGGTTTGGTTGTAATATATTGTACTTTATTAAGATTGCCAAAAACTGTTAAAATTAAAAAAAATTAAATCATGTGTATACAAACTTTTTGCCAGATAAAAAAGTAGTCATTTTTATTTGAAAGATGTGCTTTTTTTTTGTTTTTGTTTTTGTATATTTGTAAACTTACAGAGAACCTCTCCACACACCTCTTCCCTCCTGTCCTCTTGGAACTGTATGTCATCTCTTCCTTCCTCCACCCCCAGCCCTGTGAATTAAAGCAATTAACTGAACGATAGTCATTAGGTTCCGGTCCTGGGTCACATGACTCAAACCAACCAAGACCTCTACCCATGCTCCCCTCAGTCAAATCAGACTCTGTTTAACAAAACAGCCTTAGAGGGGGCATTGTTCAGTCCTTGCTCGACAGAGTGGGGCGCATTCGCCGGCCCGAGTGGAAACGAAGGCCCGTGGACCGCAGCATCGGCAGCAGACCCCAGGGCTGCTTCCACCCGTCTCCTCCCCTGAAAAAGCATGGAGACAGAGAGCAGGGGCAGCCAACCGTGTGTTCTCTGTGCCGTCCCAGTGATGAGCAGAGCGAGAAGTTTCTGGAAGGATGGGATGCTCCGGGCAGCTGAGGGCTGCGGCAGTGCGGGGTTCTCAGCTGTAACTCACTGGCCCAACAGTTGACACATGTAGTTAGGCTGACTAGCCAACTCAATGTGTGAGGCTGCGGCAGTGCGGGGTTCTCAGCTGTAACTCACTGGCCCAACAGTTGACACATGTAGTTAGGCTGACTAGCCAACTCAATGTGTGAGGCTGGGTGGCTCAGAGATACTGAAGCCTGGGGCACGCACCACCGGTCCCGTCCGCCTGTGACTGGGAACGTGAGGCATGTCTGCCCTGACTGAACAGTATGTGTCCTCAGAGCCTCTACTGATCTTGCTGAGTACTGTTGTGGAAACGTTGGTTCCTTGATGTGTTTTCACCCCCTGGCATGGTATATTTGAAACCTTTGTATGAATATTTTTGGGAGTGTTGTGGCTGCACCACAGGCATCTTGGGGTTACTGTGGGGTTTCCAGAACGTTGCCCAGGGCACTGCAACCTGCCCCCAGCAAGCTTTCTTTGTTATTTCCACTCATTCCTGAGACTGCTTTAGTCTTAAAAACCTTCAAAGGCTCTACCAGAGTGCTCTCCTCGAAGTAAAGTAACTCACATTCTAAATGCTCCTAGACTCACTGCCCCAGGCTTGCCCAAAGACAGACAGAGGCAGTGACTCTAATCAAACATTCCAGCCCCATAGCATTGGCTCTTCTCCAGATGGCTGATGGGCAGGGTAAATGCAGCCACAGGGCAGGTCTCCAACAAGGGGGTTGGAATGAATTACAGAACTTCTCAGAAATGAATCCAAAATGGCAGCCTGCATAGTGGGGCTGAATTTGTGAGTGGGTCTGTCGTGTTCCTCCATCCTGGGAGAGTGCCAGAGCCAGTTCTAGTGAAGAAGAGAGGAAGCAGGATCCTCCTGGGTACCTCTTCCAGAAGGCAAGGACCAGTGTACAATCGTAATTGGAAATGTCACGTGTTTAGCTTTTATATGTGTGTACATAATTATACATAGAGATAGACTTGTGTATACGCCCCACACACACATCCTCACATATACATGTGCTCAATGTATATCTTGTCGCTCCCGCTCTCAAGTTGGAACTTGCATTGTGATTCCAGTTTTGGAAGTTCAAAAGTATGCAGTGTATTGAAATAAGAAATATTCAATATTGTCAAATATCTTGTGGTTGTCTTGCCTTCAATAAAATAGTGCATAGATGTGTTAAACTACAATCGAAACTAGTCCACAGAACTACCGTCGCCACTGCTTTTATGTACCTGTATGCACAGGTGTGCATGCCTTTGTGGGCCAGTGTCCCCCCAGCGTGGGCACCCCACTAAGTGGTGCTTGCTGAAAGAAGACACCTACCCTGTGACGACAGCAACCTGGTCGGCAGTGACAGGCTTTGCTGGCAGCCTCTGGCAGAGCCCCACTGACAGGCCTCTCTCTGTACTCTGTCTCAAGGGATGAATGTAGGATAGATTTTGATCTTCTCGGCACTGAAGAATAACCTATAACTCCAAGTAGCAAATCAGTCCCCTTCTCTAGTGAACACTGTCTCAGGCATCATGGCCTGCCGTTAGAAACAGCAGAAGCCATAGTGGATGCCATCCTGATTGATGTGGCCTGAGTCCCGCCTTCCCAGCTTGTACACACAAAACCCCCTCTTGAGTTTGGGAAGCCTCGCTGCCTCTGAGAGTGAGGGTACTGCCCCTTTGCTCTCCCACCCCAGGGGTGCCCCGACCTTTTCCACAGAACTGGGCTGCTCCTGGGCTGTCTCCTTCACCAACACTACCCTCCTACTTATAGGTAGGATCTGGTCAGGTTTGTTAACGATGTCCTGAAATTATCTCAGTGTCCCCATCTTTGCTGAATCTAGATCAGTCAGAAAACAAAATGGAAGGTTCCTCTTAGTTCATGACCTCAACTTAGTAAAAAAAGAATGGGCATGACCCTCTTCCTTTTTTTGTAGGATCTTGAAGGAGAGTTGTCAGCAAAACATCTGTGGGCATTGCAGGAATAGTCCAAGATTGAAAAGGCAGGCGGCATAGCTATACCCACATGCTCACCAAAATAAAGGTGTGACACCAGTGTCCTGAGTGCTGTGAGGTCGGAGGCTACAATGCTTGGTGGTTAGAGCCACACTGCTGTCCCAGCCAGTGCTCCCTTCCTGTCGCTTTCCGCAATGTCCCAAGATTGGAGGAGACGCCATGGCCGTGTCGGATTAAATGTCTCAGGCAGCAAAGATAAGGGTTGCAAGGTAGTAGCTAGTATAGACAACGGGACAGTCTCAGTTACTGATTAATGTCAGAGCTCTAGCCAGTACATGTCCTCTAATGTCCAGGGTGACGGTATGGGGAAGGCACTGCTGGCTTCTGAGTCCTAAGGTAGAGCAGTTTATTCCTTCTCCATATGGAAGGGGGAGAGGCCGTCAGGAAGACCAGGTAGCTGGAGATGGTCAGACAAGGCTACAAGAGCTGGCGAGTAGGAGTATGTCTGAGTGTGTCAAATGCTCAGGGCTCAGTGCTCACTAGTTTCCAAACTACCTCTCCCCCAAGAATGGGAGGCACTGTTTCCGGGCCACAGCACCGGGAGCCAAAGCCTTCCTGTTTCACAGGCAGGAGAGCCAAAACAGACAAGGTCACCTACAAGCCAGGAATGATCCGAGCCGGTGTTGGCATTCTTCTGACCCAGTTGTACAGATTCATGTCCCTTCAGCCATCTATACTCCATGGCTAGAACATGAGGTTATTCCCAGCCTCAGTAGCTAGAAAAAATATAGGTGCATTTGGGGCTTCTTCACTGTAAACGGTGGTCCCCAAAGCCACTTGCATTGTCCTGTACACACACAGAGCAGTCAGGGCACCCTTTTAATTTTTGTTTGAAATCAACTTCTTCGGTATTCCAAAATCTTGCAGTTTCAGTGTGCAAACTCCTTGGACTCCAGACCCTGTCTGATTGACACTCTGCAGGGTTTGATACCGGGAAAAACTTTGCAGCAGGAGTTCAGATGGTCCCTTCAGGAGGCAAGAAGCCTCCATAGCAACGAAGGCCAGCCTGCCTGTTGTGTGTTGACTTCTCTCCTCACCTGTTCTTTAAAGAGAGGAACAGAGGGTGGCACTTCCATCTGTAATGGGCTCTGAAGGCAGAGAGGCCATATTGACTTTACATTCAACTGTGTAATATGTGGAAAAGACTCAGCATGTTGGTCAAACAATAAACTGTCCTAATTCTCAACACAAAGCTTCTTGTCGACTGTTTCTAAGTGGCGTAGTTATATATATGGGGCTTAAAATCGGATTTCCTCAAAGGCCCTCTTATGCATGGGTGCTGTGTCCCCTGCACAGGGCCTTTTGCCTCTTGCCCCTGCTCACCTGGGCTCTCCGCCAGCTCTTAAAAAAAAAACCTATGGGCCAGTGAGATTTTATGCACAGCCTTGTCTGTCTGTTAGATTCTAGCAGTAGATAGTCAGGGAAACTCCAGGAGGGACCAGGACTGGTGAGTGTATCCTCACCCCCACACTCTACTTGACAGGGTTGGTTAGGAAGGCAGAGTAGAGGGGTTATGTTTCCTATTTATCCTTTTGGTTATTTCCAGACTATCCTTTAAAGGCAGGAACTGAAGGCAATCATGATCACCTTTCAGATGGCACCAACTATGACCACCCCCCTGGTTAGAGGACAGTCTGAGAGGCCCATCGGGTCTCTACCACCTCCATCCCCGTAGGTGCCCTGAGCTCCTCTCTGGCTCTGGGAACAATTCCTGAGAATGCTGAAAGTGCCACTAACATCACCAGTGACCTTTCCCATTGAAAGGCTCTAAAATTTCTGGAACACTCCAATTTGCCACTTCAAGGCCACTACTGATTAGCTGGGAGAAGATACAGAAGTCCTTGCCCACTGCCTTAGATGGGCTTCTCACTCTAAGGTGCGAAGTGGGCAGGTGCAGGGGGTGGCGGAGGGCGGAGGGCGGAGGGCAGAGGGCGGAGGTTCTGAGACCGTGACTACGTACGTGCCAGATGAAAGCAACAACAGCAGCAGTTCTTCCCTAACACAGTAGTGTCCAGAGACACGAGGCTTCCCACCTGAGGGAGTGGTTGCTCTCTCTAGGTAAGATGTTAGCACAGCTGCCTGCCCCGCAGTCCCCACAAGACTGAGGAGGTACTCAAGTGTGCGCAACAAGGTGGCATTGTGATTGTTCTGCTTAAAGGGCAGTGTGGCAAGGGCAGGATCTGCTGGGTGGCTTTCCTCATCACTGCAAGAGTGGCCGCTGTTTGCTAAGTCCAAATTGTATATGTATCAGAGAAACCCTGTGCTCTTGGATATATGTCTCTATAACACACACACATGTATTTTTCAAGGTCAATAGAACATTGCTAGTACTTGTGTGGTAGGACCATAGCGGGTGTCAGGAGGTGCTGGAGGCCTTGGGCAGCAGTGGCAGGAGTTCCCCAGCTGTTGTTCATAAAGAGCTGAGACCCTTCCAGAAACAGAGGCACCTGGTATCGAGAATCTACCACAGCATGGCTTGAAAGAGCCAGATGAAATTTAGCAAGTGGTGAGATTCTTGGAGCTATGTGCGTGCTCCATAGAACATTCCGGAAGTGGAATCCTTCAGGCCTTCCTCGATGCAAGTGGGTTTTACAGCACTAGGCAAGCAATCTACCAAGCTAGTTTGCAGCCCTGCTCAAATTACTTTTGCTAAAAACCATCTTTGGGCTATGAATAAAACATCCTTGCTCTTCCTTACCATGTTTTTGATGTCCTGATTCTGCCAGTAAATAGAATCATTGTTACCCAGAAAAGGGGAGGAGTGTCAGTAAATACTCTCTAACTGACTAAACATCTACCTTCATTCCTGGAGCACCTACTGTGATGGGAATGTCATTCGCCATGCTCTCCTCATTTGACTAATATGAACAGCAGTGTCCACAGAACAGTAGAAATCCTAGCAGCAATTCTGCTTTCCCGCAAGAACGGACAGGGTCATCTCCTGACTGTCTCATACACCAGCAATAAATGTTTTAAGGTGAGAGGCCTGAGTACTTACGCTAGGAATAGCAGTAGTCTGGGAATGTACTGTCAGCCCAAGTGACCCACAGGGAGGACACGGGATGGCAGGCAGAGGCTTGGGCTGGACTGCACAGGGAACACCCGTGTATTTAATCTGTGATTCTCACTGGTCCCCAAGGCCAACCCCAATGCTCCTGTGCATGCACTACACTTCAAACCATGGCTCTCTGATGACATCTCTTTAGTGAGACCTTGTCTCCGAGTGTGAGAAGAAGAGTTATGTCTGCATACACACAGCAGCCTGTAGACTCGGGTAACCTAGAATAGAGCTTAAATCCTAGTTCAGTTCCCATCTGTATTCACTTATCATTTGACCTAATGCTTTCAGACAGAGTTATTTATCAAGATACCAGCCTTTTTTTCTGAGACAGGATTTCTCTGTGGCTTTGGAACCTGTCCCAGAACTCACTCTGTAGACCAGGCTGGCCTCAAACTCACAGAGATCTGCCTGCCTCTGCCTCCCGAGAGCTAGGACAAAAGGCGTGCGCCACCAATGCCAGGCAGATACCAGTCATTTGTAAAAGCAATGAAAGTGCAAATGTTTAAGACAGCATTACTTTGAAAAAGCATGAATGAATACATAAAAATATACAGTGGACTTTTTCAGTTTGTATTGTTCCACAGCATTTGAGTTGAGGTGACTCACAGGAGGTGATCAAGTAGCACAGGCAGACAGCCCAGGGCCTCACCCACCCTCAGAGGCAGCAGTGTGCTGTCTCCCGGCTCTCCCCAGGGGAGCCTCTATAGCACAGTAAACCATGAGTGTGTGCGGGCTTGGCTGTTATATCCATTATGTGAGGGTGACTCTAGGGGTTCCCAGGAGGCTTTTGAACCTAAGCTGGAGAGGAAACAGGTCACTGAGCCTATGAAGAACATTGTCAACTGTGCTCTGTGGTTCTGAACTGGTTCCATAAACAGGCAGGTCTGGTTCCAGGAATAGGGACTGGAGCAGACAGGCAGAGGACAAGAACTTTCCAGATAAGCCCATTCTCATGGTAATAGCCTCTCTGCTGTTGTCACACACTAAAGCAATGCTACAGCTACCAAAGGGAGAACAGGAGTTAAATAAAAAGGACTAGTTAGGAAGGAGCTGACAGGGAGGGACAACGGCTCTCAGGCTGCTGTAATTGTTTCTAGATCACGGAGATGCTGCAGACACATACCATGCTCCTTCTTTATCAGCTCCACACCACCACAGCCCTTTCCCGACCGCCAGCCAGTCACAGATGACCAAGGTTTGCAGCCAGGGCTGCCTCTCAGGCGATCTTGGCCAGCCACTTCTCCAAGTCCTGGATGTCGGCAGTGCCGGCGTCCCCACGCCCACCCTTGGCACTGCATTCCAGGAACTCCACTTTGAGGGGCAACTGGGAGAATTCAAATTCTTTGCCTTTCTTTCCCAACTGAGCAGGTGCAGTACTGGAACTGTCCAGTGTGCTGGGAGCAGCAGACCGGGTGACTCGTAAGGTGTTGCTGTGGGACAAAGGGACAAGTCAGGCCATCCATCAGTACCCATAAAAGACTGATAGGCTAAATGTCAATTCACTATTAACATTGCCGGCTTATCCTTTACATTCGTGAACCACTGTTTCAATGGACAGGTGAGATGGTCCAGGAGGCCCAGGTCACACCAGCTTTTAAGTTTGGTTTCACTTCTAAGATCTCTTGAATGACAGCATAGAAAATAGTTTTAGATATGTGCTGTATTTTAAAAATTCAAGTTTGGAAACTCCACAGGGAGACAGGGAGCTTTTTATCATGAGTCTTGGATATAAAGTTCATACATCCACAGACTTCAAAGTCTCATCCATCCTGCCTATTTGTAAGTCGGAAAACCTTCCCAAATTAAGTCATTTTACTGCCACCTGCTGGTCCTGTTAGAGAGCACTGACTAATTTTTATAAAGAATAGATCTGATTAAAATAACAAGCTGGACATGGTGGCGCACGCCTTTAATCCCAGCACTGGGGAGACAGAGGCAGGTGGATCTCTGTGAGTTTGAGACCAGCCTGGTCTATAGAGTGGAGTTCCAGGACAGCCAGGATTACATAATAAGACCCTATCTTAAAAGAAGTCTTACTTTTACAAAAGCAGTAACAAAGTGTAACTGGTTTTACTGTGTTGGTCTTTTCTTCTGCCAACAAGCTTTTTACTTCTTAGAAATTAGCACACCACGGAAGCTTGCTTGATTATTTAACACTCACAGCTTATATCTCTCAACTTACAAGTTTTTTGACACTAAAAGCAAGATAAATACTATTGCCAATAGCTTGAAAACATAAGAAACTACAAAAGAGTAATGTAGATTTTTATGTTCTTCCTAAGTGTTCTTGTTCTGTCAACAATAATTTCCAGTGGCTACAATTTATTTAATTTTATTTTCTGGGACAGGCTCTAACTATATAGGCCAGGCAGGCCTGGGACTCTTGGTCTCCCTGCTTCCGGAGTCCTGGAACTATAGATATGGGGGGACCACATGAATCTTCCAATGACTTTAATATTTTTTTACTTCCCTTTTCCCCTGATCCTGTTTTTATTTAATGTTATTATTTTGTACATATTATCTGTACCATTTACAGTTTTACATGCCTTACTATGTGAACAAATACCTCCATTCACTGAAATAAAATTATTGTAAACTTGGGTGTTTTTTAAGTCTCTAAAACCTTCTAACTATAAAAGATTAACAGTGATGAAAACAAAATGAGCTAATGATTTCAATAAGTCATGAAATTTTAAAACAGCTATAAACATCATCATTAGTTTTTTATAATTCTACTAATTCTTCATGTTATTTAACATAGATTCCATACTAATCCTGACTATAATTTTGATAATCATATATAACCAAAGGTGATAGATTTCAACCCTTGAACGCTTAAGTAGCAGAGCATTTTTTTTAGCCAGGAGTACATGTATACTTACAGTTCCTTTTCAAGCTGCTGCTGAATTAACTTTGCTGATTTTGCCATTGCGATATCTGGGGGAAAAAATAGCATTGTTCTAGTTTAAATCAGAATGTGTCTTCTCCTTGGCCCTCCAGCAGAGAGAAAATTCCTATTTATACTGGGAGGTTCACCTCCATTCCTTCGTTAAAGCACTTTTTATTGCTGTTCTTTCTCTGCCAAAGTAAATGCTGTATTTGAGTTTTTTGAAAAATGCTTTAAAACATGAAATACAATAAAACATTGTTTTAGTGCTAATGACTCTAAAATTAATTAAGTTTAAGCCTTTCCATACTTAATGCCTGTCCAGTCAGTTTAAAGAAAGCTTACCAGTTCCGTGACTGATATTTGATGAGAACTTTCAACACACAGCATGTATTACAAGAATTTTCAAAAATCACTTCTGAAAAATGTTTCAGGCACCAGGCGGTGGTGGCACACGCCTTTAATGCCAGCACTGGGGAGGCAGAGGCAGGCGGATCTCTGAGTTCGAGGCCAGCCTGGTCTACAAGAGCTAGTTCCAAGATAGCCTCCAAAGCCACAGAGAAACCCTGTCTCGAAAAACCAAAAATAAATAAATAAAAAGCTTCTGGCTTCTAAGAAATGCAGATGTGAAAGAGCTCTGAAAGATCAACTATCCTGTTATCCTGTGTTACTGGAACTGGTCTCAGAACTGAAGCCCGGCTGACCCGAGTATAAGCACCAGGAGAAGGGGTTGCAGTTCCCTCTGGTGGAATCTGCTCAGTTTAAGACCTGTACGGACTGACAGATCCCAACAATCTCTCCAGAATTGACAGTACACAGCCTCACAAACTAACATTTGGTGAAGTAGAATAATTTATGATCTTTAAATAAAAAGCACTGTATCATGAAAAAGGGTGTAACAACACAGCCCCTTAGCTGCCATTCCTTAGGACAGCCTGGTAAAAAGACTGGGAAAGTAATTAGAAATAGATTAAGACTTATTCCCTTAATTTATGAACACCCCTCCCCGTGTTCAACAGAAACAACTGCAGGTAAACAAGTTAATTTAATCCTAGACCAACCCACTGTCATCACCAGGAGGCACCTTGCTTATTGCAGGCTATTAAGAAGGATGGTGTGTTCTTCAGACCCATGCTGTCGATGAGGACCTGATACAGAAACTCGGCCACATCTTTCACCTCCCGCTGGAACGTTGCACTATCCACCACGAAGACCACAGCCCTGCAGTGACAGTTAAAGGAAGAGCACACAGTAAGCAGGGCCCTAAACAGGGTCCCTGATCTCCTTCGACTCAACCGTCTGTCATACACACACACACACACACACACACACACACACACACACACACTCTCTCTCTCTCACTCTGTCTCTCTCTCTCTGTCTCTCTCTGTCTCTCTGTCTCTGTCTGTCTGTCTGTCTGTCTGTCTCTCTCTCTCCTTTCTCTCTCACACGTGCGTGCATACACCTTGACTTAATAAAAAAGCTGTTAAGAAACTAAAAGAACTGGAGAAATGATGTCGGCTTTCAAGGGCCAGGAAATCATCTGATAGCCCACAATGGAATACGAACAAAGAGGAAGACATCTGAACAAGACCAAGTGGAAGACGAAAGGACATGTAGAGTTGAACTGACAGAACAAACAAACTGTACAGACTGTCGGGCTAAAGGAGTATGTTGACAGTACAGATAAATAAGACACTCCTCAAAAAGAGTACATGTGGATGCCAGCTCAGAGATGAGACACTAACTGTAAAGCTTTCCTGTCCTACAAAGACTACTGGTGTCTAAGTGGAAAACGGAGAACTCTTGGGTGGTTAACTCAAGGAGAATTATGAGCGCATGGGGTCTAACCTCAGGCAATAACAATCATCCAGTACCAGAAACAAAGCCATCAGAGGTAATGCATGGGAACTGAAGACAAAGGTCCTAGAGGTCAGGGGCTTGTAGGCCCAGGTGGAGAGAGATGTGCAGTGGTTAACAGGCCCTAGGCAGCCACACCAAGCAGCGTGTATAGCCTTCAGCTCACAGGCAGTCTAATGGAGGCTGTGATTAGAAAAAATTTCCAAAGAACCGAAACACCTGTCTGCAATGCCTCACAGCTATAGTGCATGAGTTGACATTCTCCTCTGGAGTAAGAGTCCTAAGCAAAATATTACATAATAATTGGACCAGATTCATCAATCCCCCGTAATACCAGATGGCAATAACTGTCTGGAGTCTACCCTTTGTGTCCTAAAGTAACAAAGACCATTAACCTCATCAGTGACACACGATCCCCTGAAGGAGGAGCTCTAGATCAAAACGTAGATGAAAATAGGCAATTACAAGAGAAAACACCCAGAACCCCCAAACTGGAGTTCAGAGTGACTGAAGCACGTATTCCCGGGTTAGATGGAGGTATAGCTCAATAGGTAGAATGCTTGCACAGCAGGCACAAAGCCTGAGGCCCCATCCCAGCCAGCATAAAAGCAGACGATGCACATGCCTGGAATCCTAGTAGGTAGAGGCAGGGGATCAGAAACTCAAGGTCATCTTTGGCTAAATAGTGAGTTCAAGGCCAGTTTGAACTACATGAGATCCTTCCTCAAAAAAAAAAAAAAACAAAAAAAATGCATGTTTAAAATTATTTTAGAGGCTAATACTAGAAATTTTTAAAGGGTATTTTCAAAAGACCACACTATAAAAGTAGTATATGAAATTAGCAACTCAGTGAAGATGACTCTTAGCTGAAAAGAACCCAGCAAATTAGACAGCAGATCTGAGGGGCTCACACAACACTTAAGGGAAAAGGATTTGTTAGATAAACTAGCCAACAAATGGCAGAGAGAAGGATCAAAAACCATCAGCAGAGTCCCACGCTGTGACAAGTGAGGAAGAGCAGACAGCGCCATCTGTTGGCATCACAGGGTTTGATGAATCTGGCCTGATTTTTATGCTACTCCTTTGCCTGGGGTTCTTTTGCCCGCTGCGGTCACCTATGCCCTGTAGCTGTGAGGCATGGAGGCAGGTGCTTCAGTTTCTTTTGGAATTACTTTTCAGCCACAGCCTCCATTGGACTGCTTTTGAGTGGGAGGCGTGGTTGGTCCAGCAGAGCCCATTAGCCACTGTGCGTGAACAGATGACAGCATCCTCTGGTGTAGGGTGGTACACTTGAATCCAAACACCACGAAGCCAGACAGGTGCCCCATAGGAAATGACACTGAGAAAACAGAACCTGAAAGGAAGGGACAGAATTTGGCAAAGAGCAAAGAAATCATAAACAGCAGGTCTACTTAAGTCATCACTGGGTATAAGAAAAAGAGGATTAGTGACAGTTACAGAGGCACGTCCCCAAAATAACACAAGGGTCTGAGGAAGATCAAAACACAGGTGATTTCAGTTCACCAGAAAGAAATATGCAAATATGCACTGACTAAATACTGTTGCTTACTGTTTAAAATGGGGCAGGAATCCACAGAAAGAGTAAAAATAATATAGTTTTAAATGAGTAGATGGAGAAAGAGTCTTTTTTTTTTTTTTTGGTTTTGGTTTTTTGAGACAGGGTTTCTCTGTGTTGCTTTGGAGCCTGTCCTGGAACTTGCTCTGTAGACGAGGCTGGCCTCAAACTCACAGAGGTCCTCCTGCCTCTGCTCCCAAGTGCTAGGATTAAAGGCGCGCACCACCAATGCTCAGGGGAAAGACTCTTAAGCCAGAAGGTAGGATGTTTTAAAATGGCTGCTCTTGCAGAGGGCGAATGTTCGGCTCCCAGCACCACATCAGGCAGCTCAGCTGTTTGTGACTCCAGTCTAGGGGTCTAGCGCCATGTTCTGGCTCTTCAGGCACCTCACATACATGATGCACAAACATATACACAGGCATATGCACACAAATGTTTTTAAAAATCTGAAAAAAAGTCACATACCACAGTAAAAAGTATTTTCAACTTCCTTGTATTATGACTGAAGTTTCTGTAAACTTAGTTTTACCTTTATATGCTACATATCCTATTTATTCAAAAATACTTGGATAACAGACTATAAATATACTGCAAACTGTAAATTATCTGCAATTAAAATAGAAAAAAAGTGGTTTTCAGACAACTTGACTATATTGCTTGAGCAAGTCTCAAACTTGCCATCCCCTTGCCTCAGTCTCCTAAGTAGTGTGTGTCACAGCGCTCAACGAGAAGGAAAAGAACACCCAATTATGACCAAAGTTTGCAGATCTAGACATGTCTCAATTGTCTGAGGAATAAAAATCACATTCTCGTCTATGACAAATTGCTCATCACCATCTTTTTGTGGCAAGAAGCAATGACAAAATCTAAGTCTAGAATGCTCAACAAAAAGAAAGCTAGGATACTATCAGTCAGAAACATGAATACTTCAGACATAATACTGACAATTAAACTATCATAACATCATCTCCAAAATGCTTTCCAAATTCAGTTATTAAAATATGCCTTCATATCACTGAAATGTATCATACAAATTTTCTTCTTTAGCTTTTAATCAGTGTTAGATAGCAAAATATGAAGAAGGCATTTAAAACTAGAGCATGCAAATTTTAGGAACTAAAAATAGTTCTTGAGGCACTGATTTAATGAAATTCAAGAACAGACATGCTGGGCCGCCATGCTGCCTCTAGCTTTTGACAGGTTATACAAGGAAGATAATAAGGGCAGTTTCTATGCCATGGTTCCTACTGCTCCAAAGCCACCAGTGCGAAAACACTCAGCAAGCTGGCTACCAAGCCGCTTGTAAGGATACACTACTACTGTAAGGGTGAGGAATCGCTATCATCCCAAGCCTGCTACCGTGGCACTCTAGTGAATTCGGAGCCACAGATTCCCAGTCAGCATCCGGGGTAGAAATCATCCGGGGCTTCAAGACAGACCTGCACTTGTGGAGTACAGCTACCGGTGCTTCACAGGAGCCAGGCCTTTCTGGCTGGCCTTTTGAGGATACCAGCTGTGCACTATCCATGCAAACAATTAATAGTTACGCCCAGAGATATCCAGCTAGTATGCCACTGCATTATGTGCAGAACATGCTTAAGAATCTATGACAGCTAGGTGTTGTAGCTCATGCCTTTAACACAACACTGGGAAGGCAGAGGCAGGTAGATCTCTGAGTCTGAGGCCAGCCTGGTCTACAAAGCGAGTTCCAAGACAGTCAGGGCCACACAGAGAAACCCTGTCTCGAATCCTGCCCTCATCAAAATAAATCTACTATGCAGGAAATGTTTGTTGTTAAAAACAAAGCAAAACAAAACCACAAAACCCTCTTTGTCCTGTTAATAAGCAATTCTGAATGTTAGATTAGTTCCCTAGAGAGTCAAAAGGTATGATTCTGAGTAGAAAAATAGGGCACAGAAATGAGGTATTGGCAGTCTTTCCGTTTTCACTTGTATGTGAATTTCCAGTACAAACATAGGATGCAAAGCCTGATGGAGTCAAAACTTTTCAGTGGACAAGCCCAGCAGCTCAACTTCAAGACAATCAGAAATAAACTCGCCTGCTTTGGTGGGGCACACCTTTAATCCCAGCATTCGGGAGGCAGAGGCAGGCTGATCTCTGGGAGTTCAAGGCCAGCCTGGTCTACAGAGCAAGTTTCAGGATACCTCCAAAACAATACAGAGAAACCCTGTCTTGGAAAACCAAAAAAAAAAAAAAAAGCAAAAAGAAATAAACTCCTTACATTTTTCTATGCTTAAAAAAATAAATACAAGCTGGGCAGTGGTGGCACACACCTTTAATCCCAGCACTTGGGAGGAAGATTAGAAGTTCAAGGTCATCCTTGGTTGGCTACCTCGAAAGCTCAAGGTCAGCCTGAATTACATGAGACTCTATTTAAAAAAGCCAAAACGAAGCAGGAACACAGGAAGAAAAGAAACTCGGCTGGAGTAGAAAGAGCTTACAGTTCAGGGCCAGCCTGGGCTACCTGGGCTGGAGAGGGACTTCCACCTTATCAAAACAAAAGAAAACCAAAAAGAATAACAGCAATTTTTCAAGCATCACCTAGGATCCATCCTAGCCTTAAAAAATTCCTTTTCCAGCCTGGCAGTGGTGATTCACGCCTTTAATCCCAGCACACGGGAGGCAGAGACAGGGAGATCTTTGAGTTCAAGGCCAGCCTGGTCTACAAAATGAGTTCCTGGACAGTCAAGGCTACACAGAAAAACCCTGTCTCAAAAACTTGAAAATCAAAACCCACACACACAAGATTCCTTTTCCAGATTCTAATAGCCCTATCATTAAATCCATCTTCGGAGTTAGGAGCAGGAGAGATGGCTCAGCAGTTCAGGGTGTGTTCTTGGAGAGGACCTGAGTTCAGTTCCTAGCACCCATGTTGGAAGTTCACAACCACTTGTAGCTCCAGCTCCAGGAGATTCAACACCCTCCTGTGGCCCAGGCATGCATCCGTACCCACCACACATACATATAGTCAAAAATAAAACAATTCTTTTAAAATGGTATCTTCAGAGCTATCACGAAATTTAATCATGTTAGTGGGAGTAACACTCCGAGAGACTCTCCTTAAGCTATCACCCGTTTTCACGATCCTAACACCCCAATGGCCTACTCCAAGGTGCGTGACCTTCCCACCCCAGGGCACCATGGTGTCAGAATCTTAACAGAGGAAGCAGAGGATGCCAACACAGTATAGACTTGAACAAACCCACGTCACTTCTCCCTAACTTACCTGGCTGAAGACTTAAATCGATCTAAGAACTGAAACCTCAAGCTCTCGTGCCCAGGGAGGTCGATCAAAGTCAGGCTATTGCCCTGAGGACAGCAAGAGTGAGATCAGGTCAGCATTGGATCCAGTTCCAGGTTCCCAGGATAGATCTCCACAATTAGATCACGGCAGCACACTGGTGCTGCACTATTGAGTCAAGCAGATGTACTGCAGAGAGCGCCTCAGATGGATGTCTGAGGAGCATTTCTTAGTAGTCAACACTGATGAAGAAGAGGGCGCTTGCTAGTACGCATGAGGCACAGAAAGAAAAAATGGGGCCTGGGGAAGATAGTCCAGTTGGTAAAAAGATTTGAGTTCTATTCCAAAAACCTACATTAAAAAGGGTCCAGTGTGGCAGGCCACTTCACCCCAGCACTGGGGAAGGAGAGACAAGCAGGTCCCGGAAGCTCTCTGATCAGCCAGCTTAGCCTACTTTGTGATTACAGGACAGTGAGAGATCATGTCTTAAAAACCAATGTGTACAGACAGCATCCTAAGAAACAACATACCCAAGCTTGATTTCTGCACACATACCCACTACCCACATTACTGGCCCCCACACATACTAAATAAATCAAAGTTCTGGCAATTAAACAGTAAGTATGGTTCTTGACATGACATGAACAATGCAATGTAAAATTATATAAGATGTATAAAATTACAATGTCAATCAATGTGTTTTTTGATTGGTTGAATTTGTTTTTATTTCTTTTCTTTTCTTTTCTTTTTTTTTTTTGAGACAGTGTTTCACTATGTAGCCCTGGCTATATTGGACTCACTCTGTAGACTTGGCTGGCCTTGAACTCAGAGATCTACCTGCCTCTGCCTAGTGCTGGGATTAATGGTGTGTGCTGCGCCACCACTACCCAGTTTAATAAATGTTCTTAAAAGAATATCGACACCTCACTGTCTGAAGAAATTGTGAACACATAGTCTATCCAAGGCTCAGTAAATACACCAATATGGGTATAAGCAAATGCATATGACTTGTAAGTATTCACAAATAATGTAAAGTAAAAATATGTAATTTATAGTATGTATTACAATTAATGGTATTCTCAATCTTAATTTTGACTTTTGAGTTTTGGATATTTGTATATTAGATACACCATTTATTTGTTCCAACTCCATTTTGTTGCAATACTGGCCCCCTACAGAGAAACTTACTATACACCCTAGGTGGTGCTAGTCAGCATCCAAGGACCTCATCCTTAGAACACATGTTGTTATAGACAGCAATGACAAGACTACCAGGTGTGGTCTGGCAAATGTATCAGGACCATCCATCATTTCTCATACTGATCCAATCCTCAACCAACTGTGACCATGGTGCCTGCAGAAGGAAGTCAGTACCACATACAGACTGGACACATCACCTATCCTTCCATCCCAAAGCAGCCACTGAGTCCTCATCTCTCACTCACCAAAGCCCTTAACATTATAATCAGCTTGGCAGTTACCCTCTACACCAAGCAGCTACACACACAGGTATGCAACAAGTCATCACAACAATGCTCGTAAAAGCAAAAGGTTATAACACTAAATGTTAACAATGCTCTAACTAAATAAAAATCTAACTATGGGACAGCCTCGAAAGAAGTCAGGTTAGCAGAGACAGAAAAGGAAAACTACTTTTAAGCAAATGATTATCCTATGTTTATGTACTGCCTCTTTTATAACAGAAAAGGACCTAGTGCCCACTTAAACTCACAGTAATGTTGAACAGACAGAAATGTTTAAAAAAAAAAAAAGAATGAGATGTGAAATAACCTTGTACGTAAGTTACAAGGATGAGCAGACAAGACAAAATCTGCTACCAAGATTGCCAAGGGCAGATCTGTACCTCCAGATCTCTATGGTTAGCTAGCAGCAAGCTCCATTCTCTGACCCCCAGACAGGCTATATTTGTGCAAGAAAGACATCACCACACACTTCCTCAGACTACTCTATTCTAAGAGGTCCTTCCTTGACACACCAGTGTCTTAGGTTAGCTTTGTCAACTTGAGAGGAGAAGCCTCAACAGAAGCTGAAAGGTTCAGGCATTACGCTGGCCTGCCCTGTTACCTGGCAGAATGCACTCAGGCAGTACTCTGGCCAGCCCAGAGTTCCATGAGAACCAGTCTGTACACAGGTGCAAAGGACCCCTTTAAAGGACAGACCCTTGCCCACTTACTCTCTTACTCTCATCATCTCTTCTCTCTCAGCTTCCTCTCTCTGTCATGTCTGTCTTTCCCCCTTTAGTCTCGCTATAATAAACTATGATTAATATGCTCTCTATGGCTTGTGCTCCATCCATCGCACCGGTCCTGGTTCCCTAATTAGTAACATTTGGTGGCGTGACTCCGCAGGTTTTCCCAGCATCTCCTCCTGCTTTGACTGAGATGCCGACAACCTGTAAACTTCAACTCAGTCGTTTTTCCAACTAAGGATCTCTGGATTCTTCCATCCACCATCACCAGGTCTGGTAAGTCCACCCCTCCCTTGCTTCTATGAGTTAGGACTTCTCGAGGTTGTGGTCTCTCATTTTCAGACTGGTTCTCATGGAACCCTGGCTCCTGCTTCCAGGCTCTGCCTTGACTTCACTTAATAATGGAATATGACCTAGAAGCGAAAACCAGATTAAACCCTTTCCTCCCCAAGTTGCTTTTGCTCAGAATAGTTTCCTTTTTTCTTTTCTTTTTTTTTTTTTTTTTTTTTTTTTTTGAGGCAGGGTTTCTCTGTGTAACAGTCCTTGTCTATCCTGGCATCTGCTTTGTTGACCAGGCTGGCCTCAAACTCACAGAGATCCACTCTCTGCCTCCCAAGTGCTGGGATTAAAGGAGTGAGCCACCACCCCTGTCCATTTTTTTTTTCAGAGTATTTTCTCACAGTAACAGAAATGAAACTAGAATTCAGTAAGAAGAGTGTCAGATTCTAGAACATTCATTCCACAGATACCTTACCCTGTTATTGTTGACTTTGTATGCAGCAGAACTGTCGGTAATTGAAGTCTGTGTGTCTCTGTAGTGGCCAGTTAGTAACTGTAAAAAAACAAGATGGTCAAGATCTGGGTAAGTGCACTACAATAAAACCAAACCCAATTTAAAGAATAACATTGTAATTCTCTCGAGCATAAGGTCAAATGAATGAATGCTACTTGAAATAGATGAAAATGATCATATTATTTTCAACCTGTAGGAAAATATAATTAATTGCAGGCTTTATTCCTCTCCTTTTGCAGGGCCAGTGATCTAACCCAAAGCCTCAGACATGCTTCAAAAGCAACTCTACCACTGAGTGACACCCTCGGCCGAATACTACTTTTTACAAACAACAGCAAGGGGCCAAATGTACTGACCTGTACACATTTAAACTACCAAAATCAATCCAAGGCCTGAGAAGATGTTTCTGCGGATAAAACACTTGCTGTGCAAGCCTGACAACGTGCGAACCCATATAAAAGCAGATCCAGTAATTCACAATTCTAGTACTCTGAGGGGGAAAATGGGAGAAGACAGAATTTCCAGAGATTCAGACTGGCTAACCCAGCACAGCAACGAGAGAAACCAACACCTGTCATCCTCAGGCACACACATACAAGCACTCACACACATGAACACACACCCTCCAAAGGAGGAGTGGAAATTTCATAGTGAAACATGCTCGGTTAAAAATGCTGGCTACATAAACTATTCATGAAAAGAAGCCTCACTAGCTTAAACTACCAAAGGAGCTCACCAACTAGCAAGGCTGGCTAGCCAAGGAACGCCAGGGATCCACTGTCTCTACTGGGACTACTGACAAGCACCTGTGGATTCCAGGGATCCAAACTCAGGTCCTCGTTTTTTTTGCCAGGCAAGCACTATGGACTGGGTCACCTCCCTAGCCCCAGACCACATATTCTAACAGTATCATCTGACTCAGAAAAGAGTTGCCTGTGCCACTGACAAGTAAAGCCTGACATACACCTCCAACATTTCCCTTTCATCATTTAAACTAAAAAAAATATCAGCCAACATGCATGTCGTGTGACAGTGATCTTATTGAGGAATCAGCAGACTAGGATGAAAACATCTTTGCCCAGTCTTGGTCCAACTGCAATCACAATGTTGCTCCAGACACCAAGGGTGTTCTATAAGAACCAATGAACTACACAGAATCCATAACACACTTTACAAATGAGTGAAATATATTGTTCTGAGTTTTGGAGCATTTCAGATTAAGGATTACGAAAGTGATAAAAATGTTTGCAAACATTTCAAAACTCAAAACATCCAAAATCTGAAACAGCAACGCAAAGTCTCTGTCAAGCTCTCAGAAGGGTTTATTACCCAACAACAACTCTTCTGGCATCTTTACCCACAGAAATACATCTTCAAAAGACTTTGTGGTAAGGACTAAATGTGTACGTGTGTGGAGGGGCAGTTACAGGTTTTCCTAGTCTTTTTGTATTCCCAAGTAGGTCAGGAATTAGCTCCCAGGGCTGGAGGAGGGTCAGCTAAGTTGGTTAAGAACACATACTGCCCTGTAGGGGACCTGAGTTCACTTCCCAGCGCCCACATCAGGGAGCTCAGAATAGCCTGTAACTCCAGCTCCATGGAATCTACACATCTGGCTTCTACAGACACGGACAGTCATGTGCACTTGCTGACATAGTTTCCTGTACCAAATAAACCACAAGATGACAGGAATACTGAAACGCCATGACAATTCCTATTAAGTTTAACAGAGGTGGAAATCAAAGCATTACCCTGACAAACAGCAACGTTTTCCCAGAGTCACACAGCCCGACGAAGAGAACAGCTCTCTGACTGCTCTTTCTGCTCCAGATGAACTTCCAGAACACTGCAGATACGAGAAAAACAGCCTTCATTTTCAAGGGCATTGACAGGCGTTTACGACAAAACAACGCGTCTTATGTATCACTTTCATTCTCCATCAGAATCATTTTAACAGTTAGGAACCCACTTTCCACTGTCAACTTCTCCGCGCCTATGTCCCTCATCCCAACTGTGGAGACTTCAATTATCCACAAAACGATGAGGTTGAAAACAAAAAATAAAACAACCGATGGCTTGCTAAATTTGATTTGAGGATCTCTACTCTACCTTTGTACCTCAGTAGCCCAGAGCCCAGCTCACAGATACAAGCAGCTCAAAGTTGGTGCGAGCGACGGCGGCGGACGCACTCTGCGCTCAAGCGCACAGGGGAGGCCCAGACACGCCTGTCCCAAGAACCAGGTCACTTCGGGGTCCCCGTTCGACGCGGCCGGGGACTGGAGGGCGGATGGCAGAAGAAGGGAGCCTCGCCGCCCGCCTCCCAGGCCTGCAGCGCCGATCCCCAACTCTGCCACCTCGCCTACGCCGCGACCGCCTGCCGCCTCACCCAGCGTCAGCAGGACCGCGAGCACCGCCACCGCCACGGACAGCAGCGTTGGATCCCTCTGCTGCAGCTCCTGCCTCAAGGAATCGAGGTAAGGCTGGAAGGCGCCCCCGGCGCCGTCCCCCACACGCCAGGTGTCCGCAGAAGCCATGAAGAAGATGCGTCGTCTCCCCGGACCGCCGGAGCTACGTGGCCCTAGACTCCGCGCGCCGCGATGGGACGCGGAGCATCACGGGAATGGTAGTTCATAGAGAGGGGGTGTTTCCCGCCTACGGGCCGTGAGGAACACCAAGTGCCTGATGGGAGTTGTAGTTTTTGGTTCCTACAACCCAGTTAATTGGTCTTCATGCTTTGGGATACGTATGTATCCACTCTGTCTTCTTTGTGCGTTTTTTTCCCCTTACATTTTAAATTTTGTCTTTGGAGAATTTCATACATGAATGTGTGTTTTAGTCGAATCCATCCATCAACCCCCCCCTTTGATGTTAGAAAGAATGATGAATTTAAGCAAAATTTCATTTGAGGATTTCTACTCTGCCCTTACATGACATGAGACTTATGAGACATTTTACCAGTGTATCGAGAGATGTGACAGAATGAGTGATTGTGCGGAATGGGAATCCACAAAGACACTCAAAGTCCTTCATGAGGTCAGAGTAAAGTAGCTAGAAATGGAACCAAATCTTAAAGAATGAGTTAACTATGCTGGCTGCTAAAGAAAAAAGATGCACCGGAAAACTCGGCAATTCTGTGTCCTAAATTGACACCCCCTGCATGGGAAACTCAAATGACTGCATTTTAAAAAGCAATCAGGAAAATCAGTGATTGGGAGGGCATGATCATTTCCACCCACAGAGAGCAGGCCCTACTCACCAACCAGGTAGGCCATTTGAGTCCTGGGGTAGATGAGTTCTCCCAGTTTCTCAAGAGAACTTATAAGTTTTCATGGCAAATCTTCTACTTAAGACTTCAGCAGGTTATGGAAAACATTCAAAATTTGCGCTCCAGTTTAAAAACACCTCTGCTGGTCTGAAGTGGCCAAGTCTAGGGGGCTCTGTTGGCAGCCTCTGTCATTAAGGGTGATTATTTTAAAGCATGCGTGTGGTTTAAAGTATGACTGGGTGATGGCATGAGAAGTCAATGTTTCTTAAAGACTGAACAACTTCTTTACAATTCCGCACTGGCACACACACAGAAGCAGGAAGGGAGGAAACGGAGCTCTCCCTGTCTCACAGTGTAGCTAGGTAGAAAGACTTTTGATTAGGTAGGAAATAAAACAAAGATGCTAAGCTTTGCATTTGGAAAGTTCCCAGTGTGATTTACACACACCACAGGTGAAATAAGCACAATTTGGGACATTCATTTGGCCTTATCATCACCAAATGCGGAGTCACTGGTTACAAATGATGTAAAAATTGATTAGGATGTTCATTTAAGCAAAAGTGGCGGAAAATCAGCTGCAAAGATTTGTAGAACTCTGACCTGGAGGGTTATGGTGTACTATGTATTGGCAAATCTAATGAGAGTCTCTTGTCGTATCTAGACAAAAGATACACAGAGTCTAACACAGGATAAAAGTGTAGAATGGATGACATAGATTTCAGGGATATTTAGAAGTTTAAAGGTATAAGTTGTAATGACTATAAAATGTATAGATAACGATAAGTAGAGGAGAATAATAAAGCCTTTCTCCTAGAACATTAGTGTTGGGTGACGGGAAAGATGAATGCACATAAACTGATATTTCCTGTCCTGACCAGGCCTGGTCCCAAATAACAGACTCAGAGGCTGAATATAAATTGTAAGTGTTTAGCTTGTTACTAGCTAACTCGTATATTTAAGTTAACCCATATTCTTTATTTACATTCTGCCACGTGGTGGTAGCTTTATTAGCATGGCACGTTCATCTCTTGCTGCCAACTCCTCTGGCTCCGGCCTTCCCCATCCCATAATTCTCAGTTTGCCTTTCCCACCTAACTGTATCCTGTTCAGCTATTGGCCAGTCAGCTTGTTTATTAAACCAACCACAGTGACATATATTCACACAGTGTAACGGAATATTCCACTGTAAATGTGTCCCTTGGTGAACTAAAGATTTTAATAAGGGAGAGTGCGGCTGTGGACCCAATAGGAAAGGGAAGCTAGGATAAAAATTGCCTGTCTATGTTGTGTTTCTGAAAAATCTGATAGCCACTATCAAGCAGGTGTTAGAATGAGGAGATATAAAGTATCTGTGCCTGGTTTTCATTTGGAGTCAGGAATGAATTGGACTTCCTTAGGAGTTCCTGAGTCAGTGGCATAGAAATAAAACAAAGGTGTCTGGCAGTTGTCAATAGAATCTTGGAGCAGAAAAGCCCCTGTAATAAGGCTTCTGGATGCAGGTGAACCCGGGGGCTCTGGAAATGTAGGGAAGTCTGAGTTTGGAAGACTGGAGACTGGTAAGCAAGGAAACAATGATAACAAGAATGGGACTAATGTCTAACAGTGATGAGCTGTCCTCAAACTTGCTATGCTAATGATGACCTTGAACTCCTGAGCCTTCTATCTCTAACCCCCAAATGCTAGGATTATAGGGTTTACCACACCTGGCTCAGTTCCTCTTCTATTTTCTTTTTTTTTTTTTTTTTTTTTGGTTTTATGAGACAGGGTTTCTCTGTATTGTTTTGGAGGTTGTCGGTCCAGCCTGGCCTCGAACTCACAGAGATCTGCCTGCCTCTGCCTCCCGAGTGCTGGGATTAAAGGCGTGCGCCACCACTGCCCGGCTTCCTCTTCTATTTTCTTTTTTCTTTTTCTTTTCTTTTCTTTTTTTTTTTTTTTTTTTTTTTTGGTTTTTTGAGACAGGGTTTCTCTGTATTGTTTTGGAGGCTGTTCTGGAACTCACTCTGTAGGCCACGCTGTCCTGGAGCTCACAGAGATCCACCTGCCTCTGCCTCCCGAGTGCTGGGATTAAAGGCGTGTGCCACCAACGCCCGGCCTCCTCTTCTAATTTCTTAAGAAGCCTTTATGCTATGTCCTGGAGTAGCTGTACCATGCTATGTTCCCACTTGCAGTGTAGCAGGGCTCCCTTTTGCCACACTCTCACCACTGTTCGATATGTTTTGGCTTTTTAATTGTAGCTATCTTAATGAGTGTAAGGTAGTATCTCATAATGGTTTTGGTTTTCATTTCCCTAATGGCTAAGGATGTTTAGTACATTTCATATTCCTGTTGATAATTGACCACGTGTAGAAAATGTCTCTTCAAGACATTTAAAATGTTTATTTATTTATTTAGTTGTGTGTGTATGTGTGTGTGTGTGTGTACTGTATGGGTGCAGGAACTCACAAAGGTCAGAAGAGGCATTGGATCCCCTGGAAATGTAGTTACAGAGTTATTTTTAGACATTCTAATTATGCATGTATGTGTAGACATACGTGTTTGGGTGTGAGTTTGTACACATGAGTTCAGTGTTGTGGCCTCTCAGTTTGGGTACTGAGGTCTGTAAATGCTCTCAAATGCTGAGCTATCTCTCCAGCACCTCCTCAGGCCTTTTGCTAATTTTTTAAAAAGATATAACTTAATTATTTTTAAGTATTTTGTTTAGTTATGCATGTGTGTATAGGCATGTCTGAATATGAATTTGTGCATGTGAGTGCAGTGCCTAGAGAGTCCAGAAGAGGGTGCTGGATCTAATGGAACTTGTGAGGTGGTTGTAGGCTGCCTGTAAGGGTACTGGGAACTGAACCCACATCCTGTACAAGAGCAGCATATGCTCATGCAGGCAGAGTTTTTCATCAGGACCACTGGCCAGCTCCCAAATAACGACACAGAGATTTAATATTAACTATACATTCTTGGTTGATAGCTTAGGCTTGTTACTAACTAGCACTTACAACTTAAATTAAGCGATATTTCTTATCTAAGTTCTACCATATGGCTCATGGCTCGTTATCTCATTTTGTACCCATCTTGCTTCTTCTACATCAGACAGGCAGCTCCTGAGATGCCATGCTGTGACGGGAGGTCAATACAATATGGAATATATTTATTTACATACAAGCTGGGGGAACAGAAAGTGTGGCAGGCTTCCAGAGGAAAAGAGAGAGCTTCCTTTTCTCTTTTCACTTCCTTTTATCCTCACCTGTGCTAAATTTCCCTATCTCCGCGATTATAGGTGTGAAGAGTTTTGTGGGATCATCCCTACACCCTCTTTCTTCTTCCCAGTGTCCTTCTAATCTGGCTTTCCTGCCCAATCTCTTCCTGCCCAGCTATAGGCCAGTCAGCTCTTTATTAACCAATGAGATTTAATACATATTTGCAGTGTACAAAGATTGTTCCACAGAATGCTCAGATCACTGAGTCATCTCTCCAGTCCCCAAATGATCTCTCTCTCTCTCCTCAATGTAGAGGTTTGAATGAGAATGGCCACCATAGGCTCATGTGTTTGAATACTTGGTCCCTAGTTGGTGGAAGTGTTTGGTGTGATTAGGAAGTGTGGACTTGTTAGAGAAGGTGTGTCACTGGGAGCAGGCTTTAAGGTTTCAAAAGACTTATTCCATTACCCGTGTGCTCTCACTCTTTCTCTGTCTCTCGATTGTGGTTGTGAACCTTAGCCCACTGACTGATGACGTAAATCATTATGTTATTAGGCTCAAAAGAAGATTGTTAGCAAAAGCTGTTTCAGATTCATTTTTGGACCATGGCTATTGTGTCAAAACACATTAATATAAGTAGGTAACCAATCACCTCTCCCAGTACTCACTGGGGCACTTGTTTGGAACAGATTCCCCTTTCTGGCACCATGTGCAAACACATGTGCACACACCCATGTGTGTGGCGTATAGGTTTGATTCTATTAGGATGACCTAGGAAACCCTTTCAAAAGGGTCTTTTCTTGGAATGGATCCTGGAGCTGTGTCTGTGGACCCCACATAGAGCCGTGGGAAAGACCGCCTGAATCTTTTTACCTTTTAAAAAAGTATTTTTATCTTTTAAATCACTTTTCTTATCTTTTATTTTTATGTATATGTGTGAGCTTATGTGCCCCACATGCATGCAGGATCTTGTGGAGCAATAGAGAGCATCAGAACCTCTGGAACTGGAGTTACAAACAGCTGTGAACCCCTATGTGGGTGCTGGGAATTGAACCCGGGACCTCTGGAAGAGCAGACAACGCTCTTAACCCCTGAGTCATCTTTCCAGCCCTGACTACCTGAATCTTGAGCTCAGAAGACAAGGTTCACTTGTAAATATGTATGTATGTATGTGTGTGTGTGTGTGTATGTTTAGTCAGATTGTATAAAGAAATCTTGGCAAAAACATTTAGAAAAGAGTGGAGCTTGGGAATATAAAGTCAACAGTCGCTTTTATTTTGTTCTCTGTGTATGTGGCAACACACAGCAGTGAAGATGGACGCAGTTGGCCTGAACCCCTCAGGCCCTGGAGGCCAAGGGAAGCCCATGGATCTTGTGAGCATCTATTTCCATCACACTGGCAGCCCACCTCTTGGATTTTAACTTTTGTGGAAAGTGCAGGCTTCCAGGAGTCCTGGGGAGAGAAGAGAGATGTAGGGCATTCAGAACACTCTTATATTTATGAACTGTTTAGTGAATGGGTAACTCAGTGTAACATAAAGGTGCTAAGGTTTATTGTTCTGTTGTCCTGATGCATGTTGTGGCCCATTCTTCTGATGCCCATCTCTGCTTGCCTGCATGGCACCTGTTGCCTACTGCAGGGAGGGTCCCACATCAAGGATGGAGAAGCTGTAACATGACTTTCATACTCGGTGGCATTCTCTACCTTGTTTTTAATGGGTGAGGCTCTGTACCTGAATTCCTATAGCTAGAAGTTGTCCGGGAAGACTCTTCCCTGAGATTTTAAGGTAGATGGTGTCTGGTAGTCCTCAGCACCTTCTAAGCTGTATCTCTCGGATAGCAACTTAAATCAGGACCAAGACTCACAAACTACAATGGAGGACTAACCACCTTATACTACATAGATTGTCTCACACCTTCCAAATGCTTTCAAGTGGTTTGATTCATCCCAAAATGGACTGCAAAACTGTATTTTATTCTGTTTCCGTTCCTGGAATGTGGTGTTCGGGATAGGCTTGACAACTATAGCTAGCCAGAACTTTATTGATCATTATTGATGTTCTGCAGATCAGACCTGTCTAAGAAAATATTCTACAATATTCTCTTTGCTGTGGCTACTTTTCACTAAAATTGTAGCTGGATGGGATTAAGTAAATGATATCTTAATTTAGCTTAGCTGTAATTTAAATTTAAGTAGTCACATCTTGCTAGTGGTTGCTATATTCTATAAGGACCTCTAATAAGTCTGGTACCCTTTTTATCTTCTAAAAAATGAGATGGGATTACATACATCTAATAAGTTCACTGCCCTAGTGTCCTGGATCTGTGGTCCCATTGCTAATGTGCATATAACCCACCCTATTGTATATATTAGGCTTTATCTTGCCCGTCTGGATATTTCTTAGGGCCATGCTTGACGTTTCTATTATAACTGCCATTCCAGAACTCATCACTGGGCTTTCTTTGCAGCTTCTCCACACTGCTCATTCTACTCACGGGAGGTCGAGCATTTCCTTATGTTACCAACAGCTTGGACATATTCTTCTCCTAGGTATTTTTCATATGTGATACCATCAGGAAGTTTAAACAAGCATTTGGTGTCATCTCTGAACAGAAGGTCGCTGGTGTCAGATTTGAACATACAGAAGTTCGTAGTGCAGTCAGATACACCCCTTCCAAATGAAGTCTATCAAAAGAACAGAGAAATCTATGTGAGCATACAACCCTGAGCAGTGGGCAACACCTGCATAGCAGGAAGCTGAACGCTCCAAGCCAGCCCTGGGAACGAAGAAGGTACAGAATATGCCTTGGGAACTTTCCAGCCCCCTTGTCTGCCGTTTGCCCACCTGAACCTAAACCGGAACCTAAACCACAATGCCCCCACAGTCCTCTGTAACACCCCTTGCCTTGTTGCCCTCTGAGACTTCCCACCCTTCTCAACTACCCACTCCCACCTTTTCTGATCTCTCTTCCATTTCATGACCTAAGTGCCTTGGAGGTGCTTATAGGAGGTGAGAAGAAATATCATGCCCCTTCCAGTATTGTTGCCAAAAAGACATCGGATATGAACCCTCTCAGAGGCTTCATAGAAAGAAACCACTAGAAGCTAATGTCTGGATAAATTTTAAATTTGTCTTGGATCAGCCACGTAGCTTCTCCCAACCTCTCAAGGTTGTAAATGATGGCTCTAGAAGTCAGTCTAGCATTCCTGTCAAATACGAGGAATATTCTTTTTTTAAGTAATGTATTTAAACCTTTATATGCATTGGGGTGAAGGTATCAGATCTCCTGGAACTAGAGTTACAGACAGTTGTGAGTGGCCTTGTGGGTGCTGGGAATTGAACCTGGGTTCTCTGGAAGAACAGTCAGTCCTCTTAACTGCTGAGCCATCTCTCTAACCCCTCAAGGAATATTCCTTTTTTTTTTTTTTTTTTTTTTTTGAGACAGAGTTTCTCTGTATTGTTTTGGAGGCTCCTGAGTGCTAGGATTAAAGGCGTGTGCCACCACCGCCCAGCTCAAGGAATATTCTTAAACACTCATTGTTATCATCCTGTGTTCTCTTTTTAATTTTAAACTATTTATAACTGATATAGAATTTTAAAAAATCTACCCAAGAAGCAGAGGTTTAAAACACTGTGAAAAGGTTAAGTATTTTACTCTTTCAATATCTGTAACACTGACATGAAACTCTGTTAGCTAGTACAACATTATTTGAGACAAATTGAATGTCAAAGTAGAAACATCACTTGGTATTATTACCATGTGCTTTTAAAGGGGCTTTTGAAGACATGCTATCCTGTTTTGTTTTGTTTTCTTTTAAAACTAATGACAAGTTAGAGGCAGGAAGCTATACCAGAAGGGAGGGTAATGTTTGTGTGTAGAGGGACCCCAGGGATTAAAGTATTCAAGCAGTCCCCATAAATGTCCCCTCCCCACTGGCAGCCTGACCCTGACTGGGTTGTTCTGAGGGTGAGAGTCTTGTATTTTCCAGATTGTTATGAACCTGGCGTAACTGGTCTAAGCATGAGAGATAGAAATCACTCTGAGCCAACGTTAGGAAGCAGGATCAGTCATCTTCATTTTCAGAAAAACACACGAGAAAAATAAGGAATCCTCGAGTCAAGGTCAAAGGGGGCTGGAAGGCAGATTCAAGGTCCTGAGGACTCATGGGTCGGGTGGGAACTTGTCTGTAGTGACTAGGAGTTCCACAGAAGCAGAGCCAGTCTGAGGGATTTAGTCCTAGCTAGCATGCTGTGAGTCCGTCCATTAGACACTCATTTCCTAAGCCATTTGTGTGCGTTTCTTCACTCTGTTTTCATTCGCTGTTTCCATTTAATATGTGAAAAAGCTGAGAATGGAAATTTTAAGCCATATACGCCTAAGATGACACAGATAGAAAGCTGCCAAGCTAAAATTCAAACTTGGACATTCTGATCCATGATCCGTGAACTCCAAATTATAGTTTACAGAGAGTGAATGTACACACCAAAGCTTCGCTTAGCTCTGGCTAGGAGTAGATGGTGGGAGACCCGGGACGGTCCATACCTGCTGGTTAAGCAGCACTGTGCTAACCCGGGCTGCCTTCTCTTTCCGTGAGACCACAACGTGGTTTGGAGCTTGGGCCAGGTAACAGCTCTTGTACTCAGTCACCGGCTTCCTGCTGCCGTCAGGGCACAGCAGCTCGAAGTCTTTCTGCTTCAGACCCTGAGCCCATGCATCAGTGTTTTTTCCTGGGTAGAGAAAAGGGTGGATCAATCAGATCTGACCATTTTAGTTACTGGTGGGGAGGGTGTCACTGGCCCACTGGTGTGTGGAGAATCTGTGCCTTCAGGCCCACAGAAGCACAGGTGCAGGGTTATGACAGTGCTGGGAAGAAGGGACACTTGCTTGGTACTCAGTTAGAGATTACTAGTGGCCACTTCTTTCTGATCTTCCCTCTCAGCCACATGAAAAAGAGCCATGCTCTATGGGTGTTGTTTTAAAAAAAAAAAAAAGCCGGGCGCTGGTGGTGCACGCCTTTAATCCCAGCACTCGGGAGGCAGAAAGAAAAGGATCTCTGTGAGTCTGGGGCCAGCCTGGTCTACAATAGTGAGTTGAGACCAGCCAGAGCTACAGAGTGAGGCCAGCCTGTCTTGGACTACAATAAGATCCTAAAGTCTTTCTGCTGCAGGCTCCAGCATGGAAAGAAAGCGGATGCTCTAAGCCAGTTTCCCTGTCTCCGCACTGTCTCATCGCATCTCCAAACAAAAGAACTGTCCCAGAGGGGGCTTTCAAGTCGGCAACAACATTTTCAGTTTGACTTCATTCTAGTTCCAGGTAGAACTTTCCTGCCTCAGCTGCTTGCCTAATCTTTTCTGTAGTCTCTTTACAATAATCAGTTTAAATCCCTTTGCCCGACCCGAGGCTTTCCATGGTTCCTCCTGACATTTTATTTTGCCAGTTTTCATTTCTCTCCCATAAAGCAGGATGCAAACTTTCTCACTTCATTCATTGTTCACTCAACACTCTTTCCATAACTGGATAAATACTACATGAGACCAAGGCTGTCAGAATTTTAAACGTGTCTGCTTATAAACTAAAAATCCTCACTTCTGCATTCCCCAAATCCCATTGGTTGCTAAGACTCCAATCCTTGAAAACACAATTTGTGTTTCCATCCATGCCTTGTTTGTTTGTTTGTTATTCAAAACAGGGTTTCTCTGTGTAGTCTTGGCTATCCTGGAACTCATTCTGTAGACCAGGCTGGCCTTGAACTCAGAGATCTGCCTGCTTCTGCCTCCTGAGTGCTGGGATTAAAGGCATGCACCACCACTGCCTGGTTCCATCCACACCTCTTATACTTGTTTACCTATATAAAGGGTCTACATGACATTACAAGCTCACAGTTTTTCTTAGCATTAGATCTTAACATATATAAACTTCTGTAACTCTTTCTCAACTACTTATATACCTTACAGTTTTTTTCTGTACCATTATGTAAACTGAGGTCATTCTTGTAAACAATTGGACCTTATTCTATAGTGTGGCATACAATAGTGTTTTTAAACCAGCCCTCCATTTATAGATATTTGGAATATTTATATTTTTTGCTACTTCAGTAGTGTTGAGTTCTATCGCATGTGAGTATGCGCATGTAGATGTGGAGCAGTTAACTCAATAGTTTTAATATAACCAAATTGCTCCTACCACCCTAAGTGGTAAAGACTTGCATAAGCATGAGCAAGGCCTTGGATTAATTCCCAAGTACTGCTGTGGTTTTAGGAGGGACAAGGGGAGGGACTGGCAGGGAATTGTAACAATGATCTCTATTTAGTGTCAGAAGCTAGGAGAAGAGAACTCTGAAGGGTTTGCATGTGTGCCAGTGGAGTTTTCGATGCCAGAATTCTCTGCATAAAAACAGAAGCTTGGCAATCAGAGGTGCCGATGGAGATGGATGGTCAGGTCTCCTATATAAACTATGGACAAGAGGCTTTAGACTATGGAGTCTTTATAAAAAGTGAAGAGTCAAGGCCTAGAAATCAGAGACTTACCCAGAAAAGCACAAAAGAAATCTAAGGTGACAAAGAGCCAAGATCAGTATAACCCCCGGGGGCAAGAAAGAACCCCAGCAAATCCCAGTGACCCAAATTCTGGAGGGAACAAAAGACCGTATACACATACCGTCAGTGTTTTGCATGACAGTCAGGTGTTTCACAAAGGCTACATCTCCTTTCTCAACGAGACACCTGAAGAGGTCCAGATGTGGGGGAGAAAGAAGACAGGAGGTCAGATTGACACGTGTCATTCAGAGGCACCGTATAGATCCAGGTTGGCCACCTGCCATGGCAGCAAGTGTTAGGACCATTCTATCACTAAGCAACATGCAGAATAAGGAAAACAAAAGGCTCCAAGCTGCTATGCAGTTCCACAAGCTCAGCTCCACATACTACACAATTTTTTCTTTATTCATTATGTATGGGGAAAGGGCATATATGCACATTCTTGTGGGTTATGTGTGCACGTGTGTACATACATGCAGAGGCTAGAATCCAACATTGAGTATCTTCCCTGATCCATCTTTTTGAGACATGGTCTCCCACTGAACCCGCAGCTCCTCAGTTTGGCTAAACTGGCTGTCTAGTGAGCTCCAAGTATCTGCCTGTCTTTTCTCTATCTCATGCCCACAAGTGCTGAGGTTAAAGGCACACACATTCGTGACTGGTTTTGATGTGGATTTTAGGCATCCAAACTTAGGGCCTCATGTATGTGTGGCAGGCGTTTGCTGACTTAGCCGTCTCCCATTCTCTACATCCTAATTTGTGGTACAGCTTCTCAGTAGATTGATTATATCCTTTCCTCAACATGAACATGAACATGGGGAGCAGGGAATCAGGTACTGGTGATAATGCCTCATAACTCCCCATTATCTGAAATGTGGATAAGAAACTCTATCCCTTCAGAGTTTTGGAGGCCTGAATGCCTGCACAACATTTTTCAGAGACTGTAACTGAATCATAAAATTCAATTTGTGGTATCCTTAATCCATTTTTAAAAAATATTTTTTTAACTTTCAGGGAACATGTAGGGGTCTCTGTTTTGAGTCTTTGGCTTAACTTTTTCCTTCATTTTGTTATTGCCCCTCTTCTTCTCTCCATCCCTCTCTCTCTCATTCTTTCTTTCTTTTTCCTTTTGAGAAACACAGAAATATAGCAAAGCCTGATACACATGCCCTTGACTCCAGCAAGGCCCATATACATCTGGGAAGGGTGTTTCAGATGGAGAACAGAGTGTTCTCAACCACCAGACATCTCCCAGACGTTCCAAGAAAGAAATACCAGCAACATTAACTCTGTTGTGTATGGTCTTACCATTTTTACCGCGGTCCTTTGAAAATGGACATGCACAGGTGTTGAACTAGCATGTGCCTCAGTATCTACTCGCTAATCCAGGAAAATCAGATTCTTAAACAGTGGGTCCAGTCCTTTCCCCCTCTTGCTTCAAGGAAAATCATCTGCCTCTTCCTGCAGTTATCCAAAAGTTCTGTGGACAGTCGCTGAAAGGATGAAGTGACTATTGTGCCCTCAACTGATTGTGCTGTTTTCTTTGGAGCTGAGCCTGTCAGTTTGAGGATTGCTTATCATATCTGAGTTTTATAAGACATTTTGGAAAATGAGTATGTCTCTATAAGCACAGTGTGAGCCTTTTTCCTTGACCTGTGATTCTCAGACATGCTACCACCAGCAAACAGGACAAGGAAATGGTCAGAGGGGGGTGCATTTCAGGCCTCCTAAGTCCCGAGATGCTGCGTCCCACGTGCTCTCTTTTGTATAGTCACAAGTGTGTGCATGGTGTGCTTCATACTTTCTCTCACAAGTTTGTTTATTTATGGCATGTTGAGATGTCCTTTGTGTTTCATTTTGTTACTGGGAGGTTCAATTGTAATAGCGTTAACCATGGACTCCTGAACTACCACATAACCAAAGGCCTGAGGCACAAGAGTACACAGATGTCCTACAAAAATGATTGCCAAGGAGCCGGAGAGGTGGCTGGGTAGTTAAGTGGCTCTTACAGATCTGAGCTCTACATACAGATCCCAGCACCCACATCAGGAAGCTCAAACTGCCTGTCACTGTAGCTCTGTGGGATCTGACTCCTTCCTCCAGCTCCTATAGGCGTCTTGCACACAGCACACACACGCACATGTAATTAAAATGCCAATTTCTTAAGTTTAAAAAAATGATAGATATTCCATAAAATATTATTGTAGAGAGGAATTTAGAATTCATGTTCCTCGTTATTCTCTACCTCAAGATGCGTATGGTTCTTGATTATCATCGAAAAGCTTGAGCCAGACCCCTTACCCAGTATTTGGTTAACTACGGAAAGGGACCACTGCTTTGGCACTAGTGGCATTTGGAACTTGTTTAATTAGAGCTGACCTATGCATTGTAGGGGCTGATCTACTTCCATCTGTTCCATGCTGGGAGCACCCCCTGCCAACATCACCACAATCAGAAGCATCTCTAGACATTGCCAGTGTTCTCTAGGAGGCAAATTGCCCCTCAGTTGAAAACTGCTAAGCAGCATCCCCTGTCGGTCTCACTATCTGATAGCTGTCTCTATCAGGTAGAGCTCTGTGGGGACCCAGATGCCCCTTCACATGCCATCTCTACATTTGGTGAGAAAACCTCCCATCCTAATATGTTTAGCACTTAACAGATCAATAACATAAGACCTCACCTGGGTTCCTAAAAGGAATCTGGTCAAGACTAGGGCATTATTATACATATTAGGATTGGAAAACTCACCTGAAAGCCCCTGTGTAGCCAAAATATTTCTCTTTGCTGTTCTGAGCACATTTGTTTGGGCCAATACACAGGTCACAGAGAGTGGAATTCTTCTCATATCCAGGAGCACAGCCTTGACTGAAATATTCATCTGGACCAAAGAGCAAGAGAAAGTCAGTTCTTCTGTGTGTCAGTGCTAGTGGCTTACTAACACCTGACAGGGTATTAAATAATTCTCTCTGTAGTCTGCCACCCGCCAACCCAGAATGGCCAGACTGTAGGGCTTTGAAGGAAACCTATCAAGGTTGGGAAAGGATTTTGTGAGTCACCCGCTTCAGGGTAGAGGGGACACCTTGAACATCATGATGGTACCATCTCCAGTGTAAAGAATGAAGAAATTGAATTTCTAAGACTGTGCCACTGTTTTTGTTTGTTTTGTTGTTGTTGTGTTTGTTTGAGTTTCCTCTTTCATTTCAGAGCATAAAAAAGAACAGGGAATTTTCCCTGAGTTTTGGCTGCTTCCATGGCTGTGAAAGTTCAGGAGGTCTGGGGGTCCAGCGGTCAGAGGCCAGGAGCCTGTGCTTCCTGCCTATGGCTCCAGGTGCATTTTGTTTCTGAGGTACCATAACATCTTAGTTTAGAGATATGTCCTCATTTCCAGTCCCTGCATATGCTATGGCTGCAGAGTTCAAAGTCAGGGTTATACTTCTCTCATTTAAATTTGGAAGCACTAGGTAAGAAGACCTCAGGAAGCCAACATAAAGCAAAGTCATTGTCAGCCTCTGTCTGCTGGGATTCCTGCTCAGAAACTCAAGGAGGTGGAAACAAACCCCACTCAGGATAGTCAGAGGACACGTAGTAAACTGAAGAATCCCAAGAGCTGAGCAGGAGCTCAGTGAGATGACCAAGACCTTAAGAGACCCAGGAACCACCCCGCCCATAATCATATCCTAGAACCCCCATGGCAGGAATCGCTTAGTGGTTACCCATTTTGCTTTGATCCTCAGTAACAAAAATCTAATTTGATATGTGGTAGGTATGTGTAGGTAGGTGTACGATGGCACACCTAACATCTGCACAAAGGGAGGCCGGGCGTTGGTGGCGCACGCCTTTAATCCCAGCACTCTGGAGGCAGAGGCAGGTGGATCTCTGTGAGTTTGAGACCAGCCTAGTCTACAGAGCGAGTTCCAGGACAGCCTCCAAAACAATACAGAGAAACCCTGTCTCAAAAAAGCCAAAAAAAAAAAAAAAAGAGATCTGCACAAAGGGAAGTTACATCAAAAATAATTGCTCAATACCCAGAAAGCTCCTTTCAAACACTGGTCACAGCTGGTATAAATTTCCATTTGCTCTCATTCTTTGCCTGGGTCATTAATGCCTTGGCAACCATAAGATAAGCTTCGAACATGGAAATGCTATGATAGGAATTGTGGAGCAGAAAGAAGGAAGGAACCTTCAAGATCTCATCAGCCACGGACTGCTCACATCCGGTCAACTTCGTGGGAGAGAAAAGTAAATGTATATTCACTGAAGCTGTTTTGTGCAACTGAGACAAATCACCCTGACTCCATTCCTCAGCTCTTCTCATCCTTTTGATATTTCTTGGAGGTTCAGTTCTATGGACCTGGATCCCACAGCCTTCCTCATGACCCCTTTTCTCTGTGTGACAGCTCTGCTCACCAAACTTGCAGCTTTTGATCTTGCTGTACAGCAGGCCCATGGGGATGTTCCAGCCAGCGGTTCTGTCTACTGCGGTGTGGCAGGACTTCTTGCCTTTCAGATTGTTCCAGGTGATGTCACGGTCCGATGCCTTCACCACTGCCACAGCATAATACCCTACAGGAAAGATGCCCCCAAACAACTATTAATATCACTAGGGCCTCCCTGAGTATCTGCTTCCAACAGATGCCACTGTCTTCACGAAAGAACAAGGATGTTCTAAGTAGCACACTGTGTCATGAAAGGAGCTTCACAGCAGCTGACTCTGGTGTAGAAGAATTCCAAAAGCAAGAACTAAGATGACATAGTACTCCATGATTATGTACAATGTTTTTATATATCAATTTAAAAATAATATAATGAACTGGGGAGATGGCTTAGTTGGAGAAGTGCTTGCCATGTAAGCATGAAGACTGGAGTTAAGGCCCAGAACCACGTAAAAAAGCCAAGCGTGTGTGTGGCAAGTGCTTATAATTTCTGTAATAGGAAGATGTAGACAGACAGTTTCCTGGAGCTCATTGATAGCCAGCTTTACTTACTAAGGGGACTCCAGGCCAATGAAAGACCTTATCTCATAAAACAAAGTGGATGGCTCTTAAGAAATACCACTTGAGGTTGATTCTGACCTGTATATGTTACATCACAAACATGCAGATGTGCCCACATACACATGGGCACCCATAAAATGTATAAATGAATAGCAAAAGTATTAATGCATTATCATTATAGAAATGGCTGACATATAATAACCCTTACCTGTATGCATAAGGTTAAGGTTCTTGAAGTTAAAAAACCAGTAACTCACTTTCCAAAGTATTAAATCAGAGAAATGGATACGGAAAAGCAAATACAACTCTGACAGTTTATAAATGAACATGTAATGGGGTTAATCAGGCCAGACATCCTCTCATAAGGAGAATGTGGTTTTATACCAGAGTAAATATGCAAAATGGAAACACCAAGAACAAGTTTCCTGTCCTTTTCAATAGCACAAACATGTCCTCTAATAGGGTTAGTGATTCTGTTTTCTATCTTAATTCGTTCAGAATACTCTCTCCAACAGGAAACAATCCTTATTAGACACGGAATAGCAAAGGCTCTTTCTAGATGTGCTAAAAACTTGGAGGTTGTGCTCAGTTGCAGGGGTGAGGTCAGAATTGTACACTCACATTCTGGGGAATACAACTAAGGAAACAGCACTGGGGCTCAGCGCCACTTTGGTGTCAGACTTCCTGCTTGCTCTCCTGCTGTCATTTCAAATCCATCCCTAATCAAAGACCTAGCCTGGTTAGTCTGGTTCCTGGGCCCAGCCTGGTTGGACAGAAAATTTCATGCTCCTAGACATCAATATTTTGAAGCTCTCTACCCAGTTCTTCAAGGACCACATTCAGCAAGGTCCCTTGGCCTGTGCTAACTCCTGTGGAAAATTCTGGAGACTTTGAGTAATTCAAAATGGTAGGAGGGGAAGAACCTAGATTTGTTTCTAGGATCCTAAACTATTCATAAATTCTGAATCCCTGAACCCTCTCATGAGAGGACGAGACTTATGTTATAAAACAAAATGAGAAGTCCCATATCCAAATGACAGCAAATGTAGGAGCACAGGCATCCTGATCAATTACGACCCTCTCACAACACTTTGCATTCTGAAATCAGATCTCTCTTATCAACTTGCCTGACCATGTCCCCCCAACAATGAGAATTTACCTTTCAATGGCCAGGATTACCAGTTTCAACTCACCTTTTTCTTGGCTCATACAGTCAGTACTATCTGAAGGAAAGAAAATAAACCATTAAACATTTATGTATATGTTGGACGATCACACCCTTCTCATGAAGACACTGAAAATAAAAGTGGATAAAACTGCATACATCACTGGTTGACAATAAGGCTAGACCCTCCAGATGCTGAGAGTTTATCTGGTTGTTAACCTCTAGTATTCATTTGCAAGCTGCCTTTCAAGCGTCCTGTTCACTATGCACCAAGCCTACAGTGGGATGGTAACTGAATTCATTCGTCCTGCAACAAGGCATCAGGAAAAGCAAGAGTGCTGGACATTGCAAGACTTTGCAGACACCCACATGTCCTCTGCAGTAGGATCCCTTTTATACCAGAAGTCTTATAGCAGGGACAGAGGGCACCACCACTCTCATTCTTTAAGATAACTGTGGAGATTGTAGCTGAGAGGGTCCCAGAGACTGGGGAAGAGTGTGTAGAATATTATCTTAAGATTTTGCTGTGGAACGTTTGCTTTAATGATGCAAAGATGTGTTGCATTCTTTTATGTTGTTGTGATATATTATTTATGACTTATTAAAGCTTGCCTGAGGATTCAGAAAGCAAAATTAGCCAGAAGCCACAGAAGTCAGGCACGCCCCTTTAATCCTAGCAGCCAGTAGCTAGGGGGTGGTGGTACACATCTTTAATCCTAGGATTCAGGGTTAAGAGGTAGACAGATCTCTGTGAGTTCAAGGCCACCCATATCTATACAAGATTGATCAAGGTCTAAGGAGAAACAACTTACATAAAGATGCTCTCAGCACCTGGGATTACACCCAGGTGCTGGCAGGTATATAAGGCAGGAGCAAGGTCTCAGTATCAGGCATTGATTCTGCAGTCACACTGATGAGAGGCTTGGTGAAGAGCTTGTGGACCAGCCCTTTCGGTCTGAGCTTAAAGGTGAGAGCTAGTGGCTGGCTGCATTGCTTCCCCAGTTTTCAGGGTGAACCCCAATATCTGTCTCCGAGTCTTACTTTTTTGTGTTACATGTTGCATTTAACTCTGTGAACACCTCATTGGCCTAATAAAGAGCTGAATGGCCAGTAACCAAACAGGAGAAAGGATAGGAGGGGCTGGCATGCAGAGAGAATAGAGGGAGAAAACTGGGGAGAGGAAGATGAAGGAGCAAGAAAGGAAGAAGCCAGCCACCCAGTCACACAGCCAGCCACAGAATAAGAGGGAAAGTAAGATTACAGAAGTAAGAAAAGGAAAAAAGCCTAAAGGCAAAAGGTAGATGGGATAATTTAAGAAAAGCTGGCTAGAAACAAGCCAAGCTATGACCAGGCATTCATCAGTAATAATAAGACTCCATGTGTGATTCATGTGGGAGCTGGCTGGCAGGCCCCACAAAGAGCAAAAAGTAAAAAATGAACAGCCAACAACAGATGAGCTCAGGCAGGGGCACTTCATGGTGGCTGTGAGATAAACTGGGCTGTGGCTCTCCTCTCCCCACGACCCAGGAAGAAGGAAGCACAGAGGAAGACACTCACCATAGTTCTCTGCCATGACAGGCACTAGACCACACTGGCCTGCTATGTAGGCGTATCCTCCATCCAAGCTCATGGCATCAGCCTCTCCGTTCTGCAAAGATAGCAAGCCACAGCAAATGAAGAGTTGCTGTTTCCTGCATCACCCACCCTTCTAGGCTGTCTCCTTGAAAATCCTTCCCATCACAAGATACAGAGCCAGGGCAACAGTAGATGTTGGTACTAGACCCCCAAATGATCAGTTAGCCACACACAGATGCTAGCATACTTTTATATGTAGACTCAGGTTTTGAGTTAGCAGGCTATGCATTAATTTGGTTTGATTTTTCTTGCCCTGACTCAGACAAAAACAATAAAATGGGATGTATCTAAAATAATGTAATATTTTAAAATATAGATAGAAGAGCAGGACTGGTGGCCTGCTTTGCTTTGTGATGGGTAGTTTGGAAAGCATACAGCTATTTTTACGAGTTCAAAAGCAGAGCTGAGAAACTCTAAAAGGATCAGTTGACAGTGGCAAGACATCCTAGTATTGTCAACGGATGTTTACTTGTTTCCATATATTTGCTGGTTTGTTATCAACTACCCAACTGCAACCACAGCTCAGTTGGTAGAGTGCCAGCCTGGCATACCGGAGGCCCAGGGTTCTGTCCTGAGCAACCCTAAGCCTAGGAAGTGGCATACAGGCACATAATCCCAAAATGCCAAAGATAGAAGCCCACATAATCCCAAAATGCCAAAGATAGAAGCAGAATGATGGGCGTAGCAAGTCATTCTCAGCCTCAGTCAGTAACTGACCAACATCAGCCACATGAGACACTGTCTCCAAACACTACCACCATCAACAGCAGCAACTACAGTGTAACTACAGCAACACCAAGAGATTCAACTCAAAGAATTGCCAAATTGTGGGCGAGGGGGGAGGGCGCTCTGGACCAAGAGAAGGAGGTAGGGGCTTGAAAGCTTGGAGCTTCCTTGCCTTCTCCAGGCATACCACACTGGAAGAAATGCAGTGTATTCTCTAAGGCAGAAATACCAAATCAGGGCTTGAAAGACCTAAGAAGGGCTTACAAGATAAGATGAAGTGGGAGGGGTTAAGCAACCTATATGACACGATAAAAGAGTTTTCTCTGACTTATATGATGGAAAGAGGTGTTTATTTTCTTCTTTGTCCAGCTCAGGGTTTTGAAGATTCTCTACAGGAAAATAAGGAATACTATTTTGGTCAATTAAGTGAATGTGCACTTGCCTGAAAGATCAAAACACCCAGGCCTTCCACATTCATCAGGGGACATCATGAGCCCAGTGACACTCAGAAGGACATGGCTCAGATTACCCTCCCACTGTGCTAATGTAAAGAGCAAAGGGAACCTGGAGGAATCCTTTAGACCCACAAACTCTAAGGCTTGGAACCTCCTGGGGAGCTAAACTCAGACCATGAAAGCAAGGGTTCTAGAAAAGGGGTTTCTACATCACTCTAGCTACACTTGCTGACTCGGCCTGATAGTGGGCCCCCAGGCCAGTGTTGGGGACACTACCCTCGGCTGGCAGAAGAGACATACCACAATCTTGTCAATGCAGTCCTCGGTGGTCTCTGCTGATTCACACTCTATCTGCCCTCCGCTGTTAACGCTCCATTCATCACACTTGAGTCTCTCGAAGTGACTCAGAGCACACCACTTCACTGCCGCGTTGCTGCTGGGGGCTTCTGGGCCTGTAGTTCAAGAAGAAGAACCAGAGGTCAAGAAAGAGAAGGCCCTAGCTGCTGTCTGGGATATGTCAATGACTCTAACTGCTTCATGAGATTGATGAGATGAACAGATCCCACTCAAGGAATTCATAGTCGTCTGGGAAAGCAAAAATGGTAGACAGTTCAACTCTGGTTGATTTCATTTAAATTTAACTTTTCCTATTTTGTAAGATTTGTTTCTTTAATTTTAATTATGTATGTGTGTATGTATCTGTATGTGGGTTTGTACCCTCCAAATCCAGAAGAGAGCATCAGATCTTCTGGAGCTGGAGTTACAGGCAGTAGTGAGCTGTCTAACATGGGCGCTGGGACCCAAACTAGAGTCCTCTCAAAAGTCATACTTGTTTTTAACCACTGAGTCATTTCTCTAGACCCCAGGCTTTTCTTTTGAAAGGCCAAACTCTCTAACCTCAGGACACTCCAACATCTGAACACTTCTTTCTTCATTCTTTTTCAAAGAGCAGTTTTAACCAACCAGCTATTTCCATGTTCATTGTTTGTCATAGGTTTCCACGTGGGAGAATGTAAGCTCTGCTAGAGAAAGGGACACCCCCACATCATTCACCAGTGCACCCTCCCATTTTAGTAGTGTTATCATGGGGTCAGGAAAATGCATCTCCAGCAAAAGAAAGAAAGATACACAGATATATGATAGATGGATGGTAGATCGTAGGTAGATTGACAGATGATAGATGGTAGATAGATGGATGGATAGATAGATAGATAGATAGATAGATAGATAGATAGATAGATGGTGGACAGACAGACAGATGTACACATGCCCATCTTTTAGGCTCAGTCTCCAGATCACTGCCTCACAGGGCCTCAACCCTTGCCCAGGAGGGTCTGTTTGACTTTACTTTTTACTCTTTATTGTTGTTGCTAGTTTTCATTTTCTCACTTTGTAATTAGTTGTTTAGTAGTGTGACCATCTCTCAAACATGTGTCCTCTCCCTGGCCTGAAAGTCCCAGGACAATAGAATCTAATATGTGTTTTTAAGTCCAGCATCTAGCAGAGTGTGTGGCTAGATGTTTGATATATATCCACCAAATGCATAAATTATTAGGCAAGCCTCCAGGGTGAGATCAGCCTCCCTAGACCTATAGCTTTCTTATGCCTGTGTTGACCACAGTATTGGCAAGGCACGTGCAATCTGCAGAAACTTCGAGTTATTTACTTTGTAATAGTCTAATTGGCTTCATAAAGGGCATGGGAATACTGGCTTATGCGGAGGAAATGATACTAGGATCGGCCCAGGTCATTTAAAATGTGAACAGCCTTTAAAGCCCTTGGTGGCCTCCAGGCCCTCTCATGGTTGATGCCACCTGGCATCAGTCCAGCCCCGGGCTCACAAGCAGGACAGAATAGGGACATCAGAAGAGGCCAACAGTCCCCAGAAAGACTGTGGTTGCTTCTTGATCTTGCCTGCTCCCCACATTCCTTGGGGACACCTGGCCTTTTCTAAGTACTTACACTTTCCTTCCCGGAGGTTCCGAATGGCAGTGACATAGTTATGGCCGAGGTATAGCCTGTAGTCCATTCTTGGGGGGACCCTTAACAGCCCGATGGCAGAGTTCTTAAACAGCAGGTCTTTCTCAATAGGAGAGTCGAACAGTTGGAAGTCTTTTGATTTGCCTTTGCCAAAATGTTCCTGTTTCCAGAGGTGGGAAAAAACAGAGCAACAAACAGCAATAGGGATCAGGGAGGGTAAGAAGCAGGACTGAAGGCAAGAACACGGAAAAACTTCAGGAAACTGATTTTCAAACCGCGGGAGACCTGGGGGTACCAGGAAAGAAGGCATCTGGGCTTGCTCTCGGACACCTATCACCTTCTTTGTCCAGTGCCTCGTGAGGACCACCCCTCGTTCTCCTTCCTGTGCTTCTGAGCTGCCAGCTGAGACCAAGGAGTGAGTCTAGTGCAGAGGCTGCCACTGGATGGTGGCCTCTTAAAATCTCGATGGACAGATGAGTAGGCTGGACTCGAGGAAGCTGTCTTAGCCAACCTCTGCCAAGAGGCACAGAACTGGCAGTGGAAGCCAGTCCCTCTGCAGCCAGTGTGTGTGTGTATGTGTGTGTGTGTGTGTGTGTGTGTGTGTGTGTGTGCATGTGTATGTGTGCACATGTATGTGTATGTGTGTGGGGGGGGATATAAAGAGAGATTCTCTTTCCTTCTGAGTTACAGGAGAGCCTTCTGGGATTTTTCTCTGGGCCTTGAGGGTCTACCTTAGATGGAAAGGAAACCGTGTCACTGATCAAAAGATGGTGGATATTGATACCAGAGAAGACACCTGCTACTCTACAAGGAGCCCCAGCTGAGGATGCTGGAGAGGTTGGTAATATACGGCAGGGTCCCCACTGTGTTCTGAACATACAAAAGGACTGTTCTAGTATGTCCAGATGTCAAGAAGATCTGAGCACAGAGTTGTAAGTAGGGGAGAGGATGGGGGGTGGGATACCTGGGCCACTTTGAGAATCTCCCAGATCAAGTCCTCCTTGCCATCCACAGTCCGAGCCACAACTGCGTGAGAAGGGATCCGGGCCAGGTAGCACTGCTCAAACTGATCCACTGGCTTTCGGGTATTGTCAGGACAGAGCAGCTCATACTGATCCCTATCAGCCTTCTGTGACAGGACCTCTAAGGAGGACAAAGTTCAGGTAAGCCCGTGGCAGACTGAGCTCCTCCCCACCTTTGCAGTCCTATTATCGTAGACGCATGAGCCGAAGGACCTAGAGGGATCTCTGAGGGCCAAGGAACATGCAGGAAGATGAGCCCACATCCCGGTGAAGGCTTCTGTGGACCGGTAAAACAGTGAATGCCGCCATCCCATGAGTCTGAGCTCAGCAAGATTGCTGACCAGCCAAGGTCAGCCAGAGCAACCTCCAACCCTTGGCTATGGCAAATTTGCCCTAGAGGTAGAGCCATTGTGTGGTTTGAGTGACAGAAAGAGGTCCATGAATCTAGTGGAGGCCCAGAAGCGCCTGCCTTTGCCCATGTAGGCAATGGTGGAGAAACCCTGCATGCTCACGTCCACCTACTATGAAAAGGGCGCAGGGAACCTGCCAGTCTTTTCCCATCGCTTACCAAATATGGTTGTATGCTTGACAAAGGCCACATCCCCACCTCCATCTTTCAGACACCTATGGGAGAGAAGCACATGAACAAGGACTCTGGTGGTCTGCTGGCATCCAGAGTGCTGCTGTGAGGGGAGACGAACTCACACAAGCTGAGTGCCCCAAACTGGCAGAAAGAAGGTGACGACATCGTAATGTAAAAAAGCTTCAGATCCCTAGTACAGAAGATAGTGGTGTTTCTACCCTGGCTGTGTGAGCTTCAGGGTATAAGCAAGATAAAAAGAGGGAGCAGAAAACCAGCCACGTGACACAAAGTCCCCTCTAACCCAGAAGCTACTTGCAACTGCTGCTTGCTTGGAAAAATCAGTTTTCACATCCCAGGGCAAGTTCCCACACCCCAGGAGGAGTTGGCCAATGCAAGGCAGACTCCATGTTTTGTTTTCACCTTTGTTGTTGTTGGTGGTGGTGGTGGCGGTGTGTGTGTGTGTGTGTGTGTGTGTGTGTGTGTGTGTGTGTGTGTGTAGGATCTAGGAGGAGTTGGGGGAAGGGAAAGCATATAATCAAAATATATCACATGTAAAAGATAATTTTTAAAAGCCACATGTACTGTAGGGGTGGTGTCAGGGGATTGTCCGTGGTTCACTGCTGTCAGAGAGCATGGAGGCTCTGTCACATCCCCAGGCACTAGAGGCATGTTAGTCCCTTCAGATGCTGCCCAGCTTGATGCAAAAGCTCTGAGGAGAGACAGAGGACTACCCGAGCAGGGCTTGACCTTCGACATCACATGAAGGGGAATATAGACTAGCCTGGCCTTGAGAGTTCCAGGTTGTACCAGTGCCTCCTTGGGAGAAGTTTAAGCCCCCTAGATGCCTTCAGGCAGGTGGGGATCTGCTTTGGGTCAGCAAAGAACCTCCATTTGAGGACTTCCAGCATTGGCCACCAGAGTGGCGATCTCACTCACTTGAAGGCGCCTGTGTAGCCAAAGAATGGTTGAAGAGAGGAGCAGCCACAGCCGGGACACAGTTGACACAACTGGGGAAAGGCCACCGGATCTGCGCAGGGGACACAGCTGCCGGAGAAGAAACTGGCCACAGCTGCTCAACACAAAGTAGACAACCAGGCATAAGCACACTGCCATCACCCAGCCTGGGCTTGGGAGGGAACGCGGAGGCGGGAAGCGACGAAGCCCGCGAGCACAGTCCTGGCTCTGCCTTGCAAGTGCTAAGCAGGACTTCTCAAAAGGAGTAGTCTAACCCCTGCCCAGCAGCTACCCTCCCAGGTACACCAGCCCGTACTTCCTGCCAGCCACGGCTCGCCCTAGGCCTCTGTCTGCCCACTCTGCTCCCAGATCTTTTCGAGAGAGGGCACCTCTGGGGCCGGTAGAACAACCTAGAGAGGTGCAGGACCACCTCGTGACCACCAGGTGGCTCCAAAGCACCCTCTAGCAGAATGAATCCCATCTCCAGACAGGAACTGGAGGTGGAGGGGGCGGGGCAGGCCCAGCTGTTGTGAATATGGAAATCCACTGTGGACCCATCTGCTCTTTTCCTCCCTCCTCGGGACAGCCTCTGCTGGGGTATTGGGAGCTCACAACAACAAAAGCGGCTCAGCTACTGCTTCCCATGGGCAGCTGGCGCCTCGGACCTGCCGCTTTCTAGATGTTTCGATCTGTCTCCAGCACCTTTGAGTTCAGCCTACCTGACTGACTAATCATGACTGCGTGACCTCAGCAGAACGCCCAGAGTAGAGGCGACAGCTTACCCTTCTCAATGGGTTGGCGAGGCTCCGGAAACTGACAGAAAAGTGAGCCGATGGGGATGTTCCACCCTGCAGACCTGCCCAGGCCAGTGTGGCAGGACTTCTTGCCTTGGAGCTCGTTCATGTTGAAGCCTGAGCCCTTCTTCACCACGGCCACAGCCAAGTAGGAGGTTTGTGGCTCTGAAAGGGAACAGTGTGAATGGAGGACTTTGACATGGCACAGGGAAGCGCCAGTCACCAGTGCTTGGTTGGCTCTGACTGAGGGAAGAGAGACCCAGGGTAACTTAGGTGGCGTCGGCTGGTAAGAAGCCAGAGACACCTCTGTAGGCTTAAAGACTGAAGGTGCACTTGTAGCGTCATTCCAAGAAAACACAGGGTCAAGATGCACCATTTACCCTACTCTTGCCAACCAACCCCAGGTCACCAGGAGCATGGAGCTGCAACAACAGAGGCTCACATTCACTGCCCACCTCTAAGTATTTTATGTCCTCTGGTGACAGGGACAGTCAGAGTAACCTCAGAAGACCTTTCGGACTGTTGGGCTCGCACTGTGTGCCACAGGGTGGATTCTCCCATGCCCATGGCAACTGAGGCTCCAGGGAGGTTGGACATATCACCAGATCCAATGAAGGCCAAACTGGACCCCAGGCTACCCTCTTTGTACAATGAGGATGCCTGACTCAGAAGGTCCATAGTAGCCTTCAACCAGACCAAAGTGCCCAGGTGCTTTGATTTGGACCTGGAGGACTAGAAGATCTTCTCATTCCCCACTGACTCCCCCCAAAGAGTGCTTGCTAGAGTGTAATGCCTAATACCTGCCTATGAAATGAGAGTTAATGTCTACTAGGAGACAAAGCCACAATACCCCTCTTGGGTCCTTGTGGAGAACTTACTTTCAGGTGTTCCGTAGATCTCTGCTGCAACAGGCTTCAGGTTGTTGGGAGTCAGGCCTGCCTCATACACCCACCCGGCATCCAAGGTAATAGCATCTGCTTCACTTCCCTAAGAGAGAGCCATCCTCAGTGAAGCCCTTGCTTCCAAAGAAGACTCCCTAAGCCAGAGCAGATGGTGACAGACAAATGTTGCCCATAGGTGTAGGGCCAGAAAAACCCAAGTCTAGCCAAAACACATCCAACCCTTGGTTTGATCCCATCTCTGTCAAAAGCCCACTTCGGTACTGTTCACATTTGTTCAGCCTAAGAGAAAAGAACGGAGTGTTTTTTTTTTTCTTTTCCCTGGTGATATGTCCAGTGCTTGGCCCAAAATACCCTAATGTGGATTTACTCTCAGCACTTGTAGAAGCTTGGCCTGGCAGGCTTGGTGGGAGAAAGGGTCCCTCCTTCTCCAGAGATGGACATGTGTATCGTAGGTTCTGACACGGTTGTGTTGAGCACTCAGGGGCCTGTAGGTGGTTCTTTTATCTGTTTTCATGCTTGACCACACAGAAGGGTCCTTTGTGCATAGACCCTTATGTTTTGAGTGGTCCAGTCAGCTCCTCTGTGGGTGCTGTTGTGGAGTTGCCTCCGAGGAAGATGAAAACCTTGAAGGCTCTTGGCTTTCCACTGACTTGAGACTCATGGGTTTTCCCTACAGTCCTGGGCCCATGAAACAGTCGGCGCTAGCTAACATGCTACGGTCTCACACACACCTGTTCTCCCAGAATTTGGTAGACACGCAGGAGGATTCAAGGTCAGGGCCATCCTCTCACTCTCATTTCTGGTGTAATTGTCTACTCGGACACCTGACAGCACCCCCCCCAATTCAAGTTTTACAGGTGAGCAAAAACAGTCATATAAAGGTTAAGCAACTTGGGCGTGTTGCATGGCTTCTAAGACATTCAGCTGGGATTTGGGGCCAGATAGTCTAGTTTATTTCTTATCGTTGTTACTTCAACATTGCTTGTTTACTTTATGCTTTTGTGAATGGTCAACTTTTTTGGTATTTTTGTTTGTTTTAAGGCAGTTCATGTATCTATGTTGATTTTGAACTCATGATCCTCCTGCCTCAGCCTATAAAGTACTAGAGAGAATACATCCCCATGGCCCACTGGATTCTTGTGTTTAAATCAATAAGCCACTTAAACTATTCCAACTACATCAACAGCTTCTTTTCTCTTTCCTTAATGTCTTTCCTTTAAAAAGATCGAGCAAGGTTTATTCAAAAGTAGAGCACTCCCCTGCAGTGGGGAGGAATCCCACAAATTGATTTCCCTTTACTTAAAGTCTTAAAATGAGCCCATCTGCTTTTGATCTAGAACACTGGTTCTCAAACTTCCTAATCCCAGGGCCCTTTAATCTCCTCGTGCTGTGGTGACCCCCACCATAGAATTATTTTGTTGCTACTTTATAACTGTAATTTTGCTACTGTTATGAAATGTAATGCAAATATCTGTGTTTTCCAATGATCTTAATTGACCTCTGTAAAAGGGTTGTTCAACGACTCCCAAGGGGGTTGTGACCCACAGATCAGGACCGCTGATCTAGACACTTGAAAACAGAGCTCTTACTGATCTATTTTTAAGGCAAAACTATTGTGATCCAGGCAAACCTGGCCCCGCCTCGCACCTACCTGAGTATGGCAGGTGTATGTACCCTGGATCTTTAAAAGAAAGACTCCACCCACTCCTTCTCCCCCCCCCCTGCCCCTCTGAAGGGACAGACAGGACTTTTCTGTCTCTCCCTTCCTCCCTCTCCCCCTTCTGTCCTCTCTCTGTGTCTCTTTACCTCTTTTTTCTTTCCTTCCCTTATTTTCTTACCTCCCCCTCAATAAAACTTTCAATATGAGTCATGTCTACAGGTCTCTGTTTCCCACCCCACCCCTGCCACTTTATTCCTAACAACTATGGCTTCATGGTCTCTGTCATGTCATAGGTAAGTAATAAGAAAGTATGTCTAAGTGAAATCAACTAATGATAAAAGTCAAATTTTTAATGGCTTTGGTTACTTCCTTGCCATAAAAATAGGTACACACATTACCACTGTGGCCATTTTAAAATGGACACTTAAGTTGTTGTGAAACCATCACCACCATCTATCTCCAGAACATTCTCATCTTATCTACCCTGACTGCTCCAGTCCCCAGTAATGGACACACACACACACACACACACACACACACACACACACACACACACACACACACAATCCCCTTTAATATATCTCCATCAGGAAGGACAGAACATCTGTCCTCCTACCTCTGTGTGAAAAGGGAACCCTAAATATCTAACTGCCACTCAGCCAACACTGCTAGCCTCACCAGGTTAACTCTGAGTGATCAACACAGGTGCCTTCCAGAGCACATTGTTCCTTGCCTTATCGACAGTAACACAACCTCTTCCATCTCTTATTTTTGATGTGATTTGAAGAACAGCAGGGGTTGACCACCCCACACATCGGCCTCCTCCCTGACCTCCATGTTCCACGATATGCCGTGGAGGCAGCGGGACTTACTGAAATGGCCTTGATGCAATCAGCATAGGAGGTTTTCTTCACACAAGCAAGCTGGGGACCATCAGCTGGAAGGAAGGGTTTCATGTGGTCACGGAAACTGACACACTTGGTGTGTTCATGCTCTGACACTGCACACCATTTTACGGTCTTGTCGGGGACAGCCAGACATAGTCCTGCAGGAGAGAAGGAAGATGCATAAGGAATCCACTCTCTGTGCCAGGGGAGAGAAAGCACCACACCACTTTCCAAGGGGCTTGATGGACACCTCTCCTCTGCTGCACCCCCATCCCACTCCTGTTGGCGGTCATGACAGAGCGCAGGCTCTGCTGCATTCTGACACCAGGAACCGAGAAGTGGGCTCACCCAACAGCCTCTCATTTTCCCACCTAACTCTGGGCTGTTTGGAGGGATGGAGGCGTAGCTGAAGATGACAGACAGCCCACTCCCCTCCCACCTCCTTGGCCCGCTGCCATGGCTCAAGGGTCCACATCCAAATGTGAGCTTCAGTGTGCAAGTACTATTCTCAAACACCTTGACACGAGGTTCTATACTACAACTCTGGGAATCTAGGTAAAGGGATGGCATTTTTTAGAAACAAGATAGCTGGACTCAGAGTGATGTGGGATTGTCCAGTGTCACCCTGATTGTTAGCATCCAGGACTTTAAATCTGCTGGCCAGGCCACAGAGGAAGATGACAAGTTTCTATTCTTTGCCTCTCTGTGGGTGGTAATTAGAGAATTCACCCATGATACTTTTCAGTTATCTTCTGCTTGGAAATAACTAGAAACTCCCTTCTATTCAACAGGCTTCTGCTTCTACCAAATGTCCCTCAATACTTTAACCTTTTTTGGCCTTCATTTATAGAAACAGCTGCAGACAATCATGTGCATAACTATTTGTGTGCATGTGCTTATATAAGTGTGTATATGCGTGTGCATGTGTGTGTGTGTGTGTGTGTGTGTGTGTGTGTGTGTGCGCCCACACATGTGCAGATGGATACACATGGAGGCCAAAGGGCCACATGGGGGGTCTTCTGTGTGATTATTTTGAGTCAGGGTCCCTCATTGAATCTGAGCCTTGCTAATTGATTCCACTAGATTAGCTGACTGTAAATCCCTGGGACCTTCCTGTACCCATGAGTGCAGGACTCTGAATTCAGGTTCCCATGGTTACATGGCAAACATTTCCCCAGTTGAACCATCTTCCCAACTGTGTCACCGTTAAAATCCGTGTGATGGAGAGATGTCATCCATGAGATTGGGCACTCCTGACGTCATTCCACCTGTTCCCTTTCAGGCAACTCAGCAGGACTGACTTACTGACCCAGCGAGGTCCACAAAGCACAAAGCATGGAGTCGGGTGGGTAAGGCCAACGGTCCCTCAGGATGGGTTAAGGAAGGACAACAGGCAGACTGGGTGCCCCAACTCCTTCCCTTTATTTCTCCCTGGGGGGGGGACCAAATGGCAGATTTTCCCTAAACCACCTCCCTTAGCCTCTCCAAACTAGCTCATCTAAATTGTAAATTTTGTCCTTGGTCATGGGCCACTGTGCACAGACACATGAGGTGCCCTGAACGGACAAGTGTGGAAGCCTCTTTTAAGTTGATAGTTTTCCAGGAAGGCCAATCACTCAAACTAGAAGGTCCCAACAATGTGACCAATGCTAACTACAGTCCAGCTAGAGCAGGATTGTGGTCTACGAGACACCAGCTGGAGAGGAATCATCAGAGTGACCTCACCAGCACCTGACCCTCCCAGGCAGGCGATGTCATGGGAGAAAGAAATATAGGCATGATTTGGACTCAACGATGTCACGGGAGAAAGAAATATAGGCTTGATTTGGACTCAAGTATTCTGCCTTCAAATCCCACAATGTAGTCTAAGCCACCAGCGCCAAAGGTGTCCAAGGGACATCAGACAAAGACAAGATAGCAGAGTAAGATCCCAGAAGTCCTGATTATCACACCAATCTAATTGGACTACACTGGGAGGCTCGGTATAGTGCCCGGGTAAACTCGTTAAAAATTTTCTAACGTATCATAGATCATGTCTGCTAATCCCTGGAGACAGCCTGAGGAGCGCAATAAAAGGTAGAGACTGCATCAGGACCCCAGATGCCTGAGGATCAAGGCTATTCCTGAGCTATTGAAGAAGGTGGAGCTGCGGCAGGGGCTTCCAGCCTTTGGCTTGCAGGAAATGCAAAGCCAGCACCCCGCAGTTCTCCCCTGCCCACACTCACCCAGGGCAGCACAGGCCAGCAGGGCGCCCACGGCGGACCTCATCCTCCCGGTGTGTATGGCGAGGAGCGGGAAGCACAGACCGACCCGCTTCTGCACCGCCTCTCTGTGACCCGCTCCCCTTTATGCCCGGAGGGGGATGGCTGGGTGCAATCTTTGACCTCCTGTGTTTGCACAGCCCAATTGCCCAATCACCCTCACCCACCCCCTTCCTTTCTTGCCCTGATGGTCACCTCATTTCCTGAGCTGTGAAACAGAACTGAGCATGGAATCCACCACCACCAAAAAAAAAAAAAAAAAAAAAAAAAAAGTCTGTTTAGAAAAGGGCCTAAAGCAAAATTCACTCTTTGTTATCACTGCTCTTTCGGTGCCAAGAACAGCATGGCTACAGCCGCTTGGGTGGGAGTGGCTTGTTCCAGAAAGAACCCCGGGTGCCAGAATTGTTTGCCAGCAGCTTCATTAGCCTTACACAAGGGGAGACTGAGGCTGGAGAGGGAAAGGATCTGCCCTGGACTAGAGCCCGAGAAGGAACACAAAGAGAGGAACGTTGGACTCTGGTTAGAGAGGCAGCACCCCTGCTCCTCCGCAGGGGATCCTGGGAACACTCCAAGACAGGTCTCTCTCCACCCCTACCGGGCAGAGCATGCTCTGGGGCTGAAAGTGTCCTGCCCCTGAGCTTCTGATGTGACAGTGCAGGCTAGGAACAGTCACAAGGGCATGAAACTCTCTCCCACTGCCAGGAAGTGGTCAAACTGTGGGGTCAGAACAAAGCTCCAGTGTGAGTGCGAAGAACAGCCCAGGAGAATGCTCCCTACCCGCCACTATTCCCTCTGACTTAAAGTCACCAAACTGTGTTGATCGCATGATTTTATCACAAAAATGTGGCCCTTGCACCCTCCATCTGTGCTATTTTCGCTATAACTTTAATTGTGCATTTCAACTCTGTACATGGACTGGAAAATCGTGAAGCGATGAAGTAAAAATAAAATGGGCATTTGGAAATGTTCCTCTGGGCGTATCACCTATGTCAGGACACAATATACACCCAGGAAAAGGTCAAGGAGTGACGGACAAAATGTAAACCCAGACTTCAGAACCATCAAGTGAATTTAGGATTTTCAAAACCCAGTTCTTATTCAATTTAATCAAGATGTTGTCCACTCTGGTCTTCAGGGACCTTGTCAAGTCTATAAGGTGGAGGCATTAAAGCGCCAATGTCAGGCTGTGGGAAGAGCCAGGCGAAGATTCCAGCAGGTCTCAGCCATCGTTAAGGTGTTCACAGGAACCATGAATGTCCAGAGGACCTCTGGTGTAGAGCTAAACACATATCTGAGGACACAGCACAGGTGTCTGGAGCCGCCAAGGACACCGTACCCTGTAATGCCATCCTGTCACCCCCACATACCTCTATAGACACACACGGGCCTGAGTCTCCCATGCAACCATGCAGCACGCCCATCCTCAAGGCTGGTCTTGTCCTTTCAACCCCTCAGAAGACTGTCAGACACAGGATTCTGTCGTTATCCTTCTCCTATGCAAGAATCCATAGCCTGTACCTCTCCACCAGGAATGGGAAAGTGATGTGGGCCTTCTTCACATTTTAGCCTAGACCTCTCTGTTAGTATTTAGGCATTTGTACTGGCTTGCCTTTGGAGTTCTGACAGGATACACCCTCACATGCTGCCACTAAGACCACCACCTGGCCTATTCACCTTAGTGGGGTGACAGACAAGGATGGACTCCAGTCCTGCCATTTTCCCACAGGCATTCCCCCTCCTCACCCCACTTCTGCTGCCAATTCTGCCCTCTGAGGACCGGGTCAGTCTTGAAGAGGAATGAGTGTCCTACTACAAACCCTCAGGTGAGGCTCCCAGGCTGTGCCTAGTTGGACGGAAAGCATAGTGTCAGCCCTTGCATATTCCAGGCTCTGTTCTGGGGCTAGGGTGTGTGGTGTTGATGAATGAAGTCAGCATCCATGCTTCCAGACACAGTCTGTTAAAATGAGGGCTCTGTGTTTGCAAGCTTTGGGGGTAGAACTCAGAACTCCTAACGCCAGCTTTCTCTCTGTTTGATCTCCCTATTTAGAAAGGGTAAGAAAAAAGGAGAGGAGAAGGAGAGGAGTAACAGGGGCCTTCTAGTTCTGACTAACCCACTCGTGACCCAAATCGTGTACCACAAACAGTAAAACCCTTACATCTCACCCGCAGAGCTGACTTTCTGATAGAAAAAACTGATGCTGTGTGTACGTGCAGGGGAGTTTGGGCTGCTGCCCAGATGGGGGCGGGCAGGAAGGCAGTGGGCCTCTGAACCAATATTTGCTGTTTACAAATGTTGCCCAATTTTCATAGAAACAGAGCAAACAAAGAGCTTCTGTCTGCTTCAAGCATTCCTTCCCCTCCCCACACCGTCCTCTGATCCAAGCTGGAGCCTTCCTTCTCTGAAATCTTGGGGACAGAGTAACCCAGAAGCCTGAGAAGTGAAACCCACAAATCCAGTCATTGCCAGCCTGCTGGGTCAGGAAAAGTTTGTGAGGAAGGTAGGGACTGGGGCAGGCACCTCATGGGAAACTGGCATGTGACCACCCCCACCTTCACCCCCTCCCCTCTGTCTCTTCCTGCCAATGTCTATCCTCCCTCTCAGGAGTCACAGGATAATGGAAGGCTTTTACTCTCTTCATATCAGAGACCACAAAGGTAGCCTTCCCGTAAACAGCAACCGTCCACGGCCAGGTGGACTTGGAATTCAATCCAACAACTGCAACAGCCTTGCATACTCCTCCAGGGAACCAAGTCTAGGAAAGTCTGGATAATATTTTAAGAACAAAATATTTATTTTGAAAGGAAAAATCAATAAAGACATCATGACAAACACAAAGTATTTTCTGTGAACAAAGATGCAAAAATCCTGTGCAAAAAAAAAAAAATTCACAAGCAGGGCTAGTAAGTGGCTCAGTTGGTAGAGCACTTGCCTAGTGTGCATGAGGCCCTGGGTTTGATCCCTAGCACTGCATAAATGTGGGCTTGGATACACACCAGTAAACCTCCTACTCACAAGGCAGAACCAGCAGGATCAGAAGCTTAAAGTTAACCTTGACTACATAATTAGTACCAGGCCAGTCTGGGTCATATGAGAACATCTTTAAAAAAAAAATCACAAATCGGATCCACTAAAATACAATAGAAATAAGAAACAATTACTCAATTTGATTTATCTAGGAATGCAAATTATCTTTCTAAGCGTCAATTGATATAAGTAAATCAGTCTAATAGTAGAGGAAATTAATAACCATATCCGTCAGTATAAGAACATCATTTATACAGTTCAACATCCGTACATAATGAAGGTTCTTAGCCGTCTTGCTCCTCGATTTGATTAAAGGTACTTAATAAAATCTACAGATCTCCTGCTTCCTGGGAGAATGTGAATGACGTCTTTGTCTTTGAAAGCAAGAAGGATACTGAAGTATCCACCACTCACCATTGTAGCTGGAGGTCTGAGCCGGACCTCCAGTCACAGAAAAGAAGTGGGAAGCAAAATGACTGGAAAAAAAGCTCCTATCTTTATATACAGTTTAATTGTATACATATAAAATTATAAATAAATTTATTTTGTATCATAGGATAAATGGGCTAAGAAACATCAGGATGCAAAGTAAATTATACAAAACCAACTCATTTCTATATATAAAAGCTAGAAAGCAAACAATTCTGTCTAAAGGAAAAACAAATGCATGGGTTGTCATTCACCGAACGACTAAATATTATTGAGCAAAATCAGCTTGAGGTAAGTGGAAAACTATACCCTGAATATAGAAGAGAAGCACCAGCACTATGAAGGTCTCAATTCTTCCCAAATTGATTTGTAGATGAAAGTGGGGGGGGGCGGGGTATAGTCAGGGTTAAAGGTTTAATTAGGGATGGGACATGAGAACAACAGGAGCTAGGAGGAAGTGATGGGTGAATGAAAAACTCCATGGAAACCCACTACTTTGTAAGCTAATTAAAAATGCATAACTTTAAAAAAGGAGTTTGAATAGAGGCACCCTGCTTGGGTGGACAAGGCTCTTTCCCAGAAGACATGTGTTATTAAATGAAGATCTTATTACCAGATGTGGGATGCCTCTCTATGAATCGTTTGGTCTAAAAGGCCCTCAAGACAGTATGGGCTGTTGCCACGGCTTTTGGTTGTACACCATAACTAGATGACAAGACCCTACTGCTGAAAATTGGTGTGAGTAATAGAGTGATCAAGCTGGAATGACCTGAAAACTTCCTTCCTGCTGGCTAGCTTTCCTAGTGCTAGGTGCCGGGGAGAAAAAGTCATCGATGTGTGTTACCTAGCAGTGAACCCTGAATGTTCCGACATTGACCCGCCAGGCAATATATGCCCAGGTGAAACAGTGGCATTAAGGTTATGGTGGTAGCAAGCTACTTTCTGATTGGCCTGAGGCCTCCACGGAAGGGAATTCATTCTTCCGATGAATTCGCTGGTCAAAGTTCAGTAGGTTGTGGGCTGTAGTGGGAATGCACTACTGTTGTTTTTCCTAAATGAACATGTCAGACTCTGCCTTTTAAGGCCTGTGAGATGGCTCAGCCATCAAAGGTGATTGCCACTAAGCCTGACAACTTAAGTTTGGTCCCCAAGACTCAACTGGTAGAAGGAGAGAGTCAACTCACACAAGTTGCACCCTGGCCATCACAGGAAAGACTTGGAATGCACATGCACACACACACACACACACACACACACACACACACACACACTGAATGAATGAATGAATGAATGGATAAATGAAATTTTAAACATTAAAAAAAAACACTGCCTTCTAAATATTGATGTTTATCCCCATGGGTTAATGTTGCTCTTTGGCCAGAAAAGCCTCTTTGTGCAATGGGCAACAGTTAATGCAGAGACTCATAATTGGTTAAAATGCTGAGAATAAGGGACTCTTGAGTGATCAACCCTAAATGGGACATTTCTGTCAGCCCTCTCTCCCAAGACTCAGAGGACATGGTGAAGATAGGGCAGAAAGTCTGTGAGAGCCAATGGATGGGGAGGAATGCCAGGAAATACTGGCTTCTGGACATGACGTGGCTGCGGGACTCATGAGCTCACCAAAACTGTGGGTACCTGTGTACAATCTGCAAATCCAGAGCATCA